CTAGTACTACAGTGTAGTGTTGCGTGTGATATAGCTGTAGTCATCTGACTGTCCGTGTCTTTCCAGGCTATCACGGGTGCTGCACGGTTGGTTTGACCCGGCGCCGGCACGGCCTGACAATGGGACCGTCCAGCACCCACCGCCCGCCGCGCGTATTGCCGGCACTGCACGCGCCCGCTCGGCTGGCCGCCAACGCAGGAAGAGACCATCCAGGAGACGCGACAGGTCAGACATGGGCCACGGGTCACATAGCCCGCGGGGCGGTCAGCTGGGATTCAGGCTGTAGTAGTGTTGATCTTTAAACGTAGTAATTGTTGGTAACTGTGGTCAAGTGGCCACCCGTAACTTCGAACCGTACTTTCTCAGTACTCTCCGTATGTGTCCATGTATGCCTACGGCCATCGTCTAGGTGTAATTGCAGCCGTACGCCCGAATGCTCTGTTCTGTCTCACAGTGTCTGTCTATCCGTTTGTCTGACTGGCCTTATCCTACACTCTGTCTCGGGCGGCCGGGCTGCAGCTGTACGACCGCTGGTTCTGTTCTGTGACCGCTGATTTGGCTCTGTCTGACCGTGTCCCCCCGCCTGTGTTTCAGTGTTCGGGCGGCCGAGCTGCAGCTTTACGACCGCTGGTTCGGCGCGTACGGCGCCTTTCTGGACGCCATCGAGCGGCGCGACGACACGTTCTACGTGGTGTCGTTTAACGGCGACCACCTGCTGCTGCCGGCGCTCAGCCACAACCAGACGCAGCGACCGCGCATGTCGCTCCTGCTACCCTCGCTGCCGCTCAACGGTGAGACAACGGCTTGTCTAGGGAGGGGAGGGCTACACACGTAGGTAGTCATTGACGATGCAGGGGTATTGCTGTAACTTGGCGGGCTTGATTAAACTTAACTGCCTTTTTGAAGTAAAGCTCAGTTCATTCTTTCGTAAGACGAAAAGGTTGTATGGCGTATGCTCATTTTTTTCGTAAAATGAATGATTTATGTTCGTGTGACCGGCCGTGCGCGGCTATGTGCGCGCGTTAAAATTTGGACTCTAAATTCTACCATAGAGTCGGAGTTGCGCGATCGGAGTGTTGAGGGCAGGGTAAACGCAACAAGCTTCGCTTAGCGGGGGCTCTATCCTTGTGAATCCTTCTTATCAAAAGGTGAGGACTAAATTTATAAAAGAAAGAAAAAAAGGAAAAAAGAAAAAGTGTGTTCTGAAGTTCATGGTTTTCTGATGTGTCTGCACTGCAAACATTGTGTGAACTGCGGCTTGTGCGGTGAAGTGTGGTCAGTCTGTGTCCACCGACTGTGTTTGACGCCGTACCGCCGTCCGCAGAGTCGATGCGCGCGCCGGAACACTACGTGGCCATGATGCAGATCGACTGTGAGGTGGTCAATACGAAACTGCTGCACATCCACGAGTCGGCTATCCCCACGCCGCCGTCCAACCACTCGGCACCGACGGGCGCGCGGCACTCCGGAGACGGCAGCAGCCGGCTCAACGACACCGGCGCCGCCCGCGGTAAGCTCAACTTCCCCGCCGCGCCGACAGAGGGCCTGGCCGTCGACACGCCGCTGCGCTGGAACTTGAGCGCCTCCCTGGGACGGCGGGAAAAGGTCAAACCGCGACGGACGGTGCGCCAGCCGGCGGCGCCTACCGCGTCCCGGGAGGCAGCGCCGGCGCCGACCAACTCCTCAGCGGACTCGTGGCGTCGGCTGCGCTTCCGAAACGACTCGGTAGATGGCGTTGGTGCGGAGTCGACCTTCGGTCTGCCGACGGACTCTGAGCGGCGACCACGGCCGCGGACGGCGGCGGACCGCGCGCACGGAGCGAATAGGGTCGACTACTTCAGCTCTGAGCACTGAGAGCCTCCTCCGTAACGGAGTTTATGGAGTCCTGGGAGGGCAGGGAATGGTGGGGCGGGCGAGTCAGGTCCCTCTGCCGTCCCGTACAGTATTTGGGTGTGTTGAGCCTCACATGCCTCCACTGGTTGCCCCACAATGCAGCCATTGGCGCAACTGACGGCGGACTTTTGCAGTTTTGTATTTTGTCTAGCGCACATTTTGCACCAGAGAGGTAAAGTCTGCAATGGATGTTGCGTGTGCTAATTTCAGCGTGGGCTGGGAAGTCATTCGGAAGTTTGTAACTCTAATCGTGTAGTTTCGCTTCGTGAGTGGGTCGTTGAATCTTGCCTAATTGGACCTGGCTGGTCCATTGATAGTTTCATCGAGTTACGCACGGTGAACCCCGAGTGTAGTCGGTCGCGGCTGGGCCGTTGGCATCTTCCCCGGTTGGCGAACAGACCAAGCTTCTGGTGGCGGGCATGATCTCTTCTTTTTTACCTACTTCCTAAGGTCTCGGCTGAGGCAGTCTCTCCGCGGCCGGTGTGCCACTATTCCGTCACAAACAGGGTGTTTTTGTCCGGAATACTCCGGAGGATGTTCGCACGAGCTCTCACTTCGCAAAGTTGTGTGCACTGGCGGGCTAATTTGAGGGTGGTGAGGGGCAGAGTTGCGACAGCACGCTGCATCTGGGCATTACCTCGCTAGGTGTGCGGGGCTGATGGGTCGCGCGGTACACGGCAATGTCACAATGGGGCTGTAAAGGGTTGTGGTGACTGCCTTTATCCCTTCGAACCACTGCTTTGGGGTAATGCTGACCAATCGCTCGGTCAATGTGCACATAACACGTTGTGAACAGGAAATGACGTCATATAATGATGCACCATCACACCATAGTTATATGTTTACAACCATTTGAGGAGTCATGCTTTATTTTGTTTCTGTTCGTTTTAAACAATCAATGTATATGCCGGTTACGGATATACCACAATAGCCTCGTTATTTATGAGTTAAGTGCATGACAGAGTGCGTTTGAGAAGACGACGACTTTGTTTTATGGGTTGCACAGCCGCGGGAGTCTTGTTTGTGGGCTGTGATTGTTTGGCCCGCGCACAGCGGCCGCGTTGCCTTGTTTGTCCGGGTTGTGTGCTCGCCGTGGCGGCGTCCGGCTCGGCCCGGCCGGAGCCGCTGCTACTCACGGTGACGGTGGAGGTATCTGTGTGGAGGGAGTGCTCGATTGGGCACGTTTCGTGTACAAAGAAATGTCTGTATCGGCAGACTGGACGGCATTGGGGTGGGAGGCGCGAGACTATGAAGGGGCGACCAGACGGTGCTGGCACTCGGCCGCTGCGGGTGGAACGATGACGCAGTCAGTTTGATGGTGTGACGTCACACTGTCTTATGCACGTAAGGCGGATTCGGCTCTCGAGTGCCCACTGCGCACTGACCCCCGCTCATCGGACGCTCAGCGGGTGGGTGCCCCCTGATCTGTGCTCGGCGCTTCACTGCGTGCCGTGTGTTCGTATGTGTGTTAGTGTGCGTTTGGTAGCTCGGTCGGCCGTTACAGGGAACACCGAGTGGTCAACCCACTTTCAGTCAGTCTGGTGGTGACATTAATTTGTACGAAGCCGGGGCCCAGTCCGGCCCGGCTGTAGCACTTCACGTGTTTGTTAATTTGTGTATACGTAGAGTGTACTGGTGGCAGTTACTCGTCAGCAATATACCGGATACACCGATTGCGCGTCTGCTTGTCGATCACGCTGGGCTGCGACTGAGTTTCTGGAATGCACGACATTGGGCGAGGGCTCGCCGGAAGCGTGGCCGCTGTCCGGCGCTGCGTCACGGCCGGGCTGGAGTTGAATTTCGCCGGTAACTCGCGACCGGGACGGAGCCGGAATACTGCATTAGCACTTTGACTGGCCGGACTCTGCGGAGAGGCGGCTGGCGGCTCCGCGCCGGGACGCTCCATGAAACATTCACCGGCGGTAAACGGCGGCGCCGCGACCCCGCCAAACGGCCGCCCCGCTCCGCCCCGGCCCGGGCTGGGCTGGCCGCGTGTGACCGTGTGGCAAACGGAGACCGATGGACGCAAACTGAACGAAACACGACTCTATGCAGGTTGGATGCAATGGTCAATGGTCAGCAATGGTCAGATTACAAGAAGGCATGGCTGTTTATTGAAATGGATTGGAATTCATCCGTTTCATAGTGAGGCAGTGCTGAGACAGCATAAGGTGGTAATAATAAGCGCGCTCTCGAATTCGAACCGGGCAAAATGTGCTTATTAGGTCCTGAAGCACTTTTTTCTCGGGGCAGAGCCGGAATTTACAGAAACAGTGGTACAGGCGGGGTGGGGTGGGGGGCGTATTTGTCACACTCAAGTTTAGATAAATAGGCAGAAAAACCAAGGCGCACAGCGCAGTGAAACAGTGAGGCTTATTGAACATGACTTGTCACAGCGTATAAATATTTTGATCCCACGCCAAGGTACGTACATACCTACCTAATTACCGTCAGTTCACCACGTCAAGCTAAGCAACTCTGAAACTTCCAATTTGTGCTGATGTTTGATAAGCGATTCCTTTCTCAATGAGCAGTGAGCACGTAGAGGGAATCTCGCGCCTTCCCTTAAATCCCTCGTCCCATTATTGTACTGGCTTATCCTTCGGGAACGCCACAAAGTTTGAGATGGCTTTCCTATCACAGCAAACTTTTCAGCATACCGCCCTGGCCGCCTATGAATAATTACAAGAAAATGCCTTGAGGACTTCCCAGGCACTCGCCATCCTTTCTCTGAGTCTGATCACTAATTTGATTGTTTTTTTTTATTTACACACGGCGCTCGAACTCCGCGTTTGCCACAGCCAAGAGCCCGTTCGAGTCTTATGTATGTAGCTGACTGGCTACACTGATATGGAAGTTATGCTCCTTCGCGCGTCGCGCATGTTACATGCGTAGTTGCAGTCTACAGACCTCGGAGGGCCCAGGCCAGTGCGCTCAAGAAAATTGAATGGCTTTGTGGCTAGGTCGGATAGAGCAGAGGGCTATCACAACGAAGTCAAACGAAATGATAGTTCGCTGCGCTAAAAGAACAGCGGCTCGTCGCTGCCATGGACCTTGTCCCGCCGTCGGACTGACTCCCGGTGTCGCCTATTCGGCCCCTGGGCTCCACTCACACTGGGAAACTACTTAGTGGAGGCTGCATTATGCACCTAAATATGCGAGCTGCCGTTATGGATGCTCCCGCAAACTAGAAAAGCACATTATGATTCAGCTGCCGGTTATGGGTGGTGGAGCGGGAAGCGGCCGGCCATCTCCATACACGAGACAAACATTTCGTTATCATTTTAGGCACATGCTGGGAGGCCTATCCGACGATGGATGCTGTGGATAACCAAGGATGCGCTTAGCGGAAAACGTGATACATCCTGACTTTCAATGTGGTGACGGGCTTCGAGCGCAGTGACGATAAACAAAGATCGGGCCCCAGAGCGGTGTACTCTGTTCCAGCATTTATTGCAATGCTTCCTCGTGATATATTTGCCTATTTATAACATACATTGATATTGTATCAATGGAAGCTCCATGATTCGCGGGACCTATCTGGGCATATTTCCATAATGTTCTTGGCCTATAGATAATTGCTTTGAGTCTTCATTTCCAGTTATTGTTCAATCGTCGGCACACATTACGCACCAAACACTAGGTTTCCGGCATTCTTGCAATACGTCCAATAAACATTTCCATATACAATCATGAGTGATGACTATCATGAGCAATAAGTACACATTACAGCCCGACGCATCACACGGTGATCAGTTGTAGCTGAAGGTGACCGTCCGGAGTCGTGGTCAGCGCTATCGTGTCGCCGGACCTCACCAGTCCCAGTGACCTGACCCGGTCGGTGGCCCGCTGGATGACATCACGATGTGTGTCATTATCTGAAATCCAGGACTGTCCTGTGGCAGGCACATCTGAAACCGATTACCGAATTAAACGGGGTAAAAGCGACATCAACTGCTCCGCAAGGCTGCTCCGCCTGGTTTATAGTTCTTAGTCCAGCCGCTAGATGTCAGGCAGTCATGCGCCTAATAGATGCTGTGCCGCAAGGCTTCAATCCTGAATGGTCTTTTGGTTAGCATCATTCCCGCATGATTCGTTCCTCAGTTCGGTGGCCCTAGCTTCGAATACGATCGAACTTTTGTTTCTGATCTTATTTTTGCCATCTTTGCTGTTTGACATGTTCGTGACATAGGTACCTATCTCTATTGTCTTATCTCCGTTGAATACGACATACGGGACATGCTCATAAGGGAGCGGCAAACTTCTCTCGTCGGCCGTCGCAATGTCGAGATCCATGCATTGATTTTGTGATGAGTGAAGCAGGGTCAGGTCACCTGGACTATGACGTCACTTACCTTGAAGGACAAAAGGTACGACGCCACTTTGAAGCCGACTCTGTCTGGCAGTCTGTTCCGATGACGTCATCATGATGACAGGACACGGCTGTCGGAACCTGGCGGCATAGAACAGGGAAAGACGGTCACAGGGACAGAGTAACAGAGGAACCTGGAACACTCTCACCCAGTTGCAGTAAGCAGCTCTGACTGATGTGTTTTCATAAAAAAACTGCGCTGGTGCTTGGAGGCTGTTGTGGGTAAAGAGGCATGGTTCGTTTTCTTCATACAATTGTTATCATAATCCATACGCACATTTATACCTCTCGAGAACATTTACCAATTAAATCACTCCATGCAAATAGCTTGAAATACACGGAAATAAAACTATGTTTGGAACACCCTTGCTCTTTTTTTTTGCATAAGTAAAAAAAAGGAACACCCTTGCTCAGCGTCTCGATACCATTGATCTGTGGGTAACTAGAAATTATACGAGTAGCGTCCTTACTTAGCCAGCCCGTAAGGACGCTCTGCTTCTGTCTCTGCCAAAAGGGCGGAGGCTCCGCCCTAACAGAGTGGGTACGGTTCTGGATATGTACACCTGGTACGACCTCGATTATGAAAGGGACCAGGATAACATTAGCCGTCTCTAGCGTCAAACGCTCTCAGCGGGGCAGCTCGAGTGTGGACCTCCTCCGGAAGGGTGCCACCCGATGAATTGGACAACACAAGAGGGAAGTACTGAGACGTCCATTATATCGCAATGGGTGTATGTCAAGCGCCCACGGACCACTCGGGTACCTATATGGGCAAACACTGTCAGCTCTTTTGAAACGGCTAATAAACGATCCTTTAGAAGATCAGTAGACGACATATTGTCAATTACAATCAATATCGCTTTGCGCTGTTTGCGCTGTTTCATTAGCAACAAGCGGATATGAACCATTCTGAAAGCTGTGCTGTCGCAGGGATAAGCAGCCGAGAGCCCCTCTTTAGTTCGGTAAGTCAGAGGCTATGGAGTTCGGACTCCAGTGATTTGGCTATGATTTTCAAGATTAGATTTTAGTTATTGAGCATTAACATGTGCGATTTTAACTCGTGGGGTTTTTATCTAGCAGCGACCGGTTCCCGACGTGGCACTGCACACTCACACGGGCGAACTTGTACCTGGGGCTTGGTATTCCTCTACTTCGTCTTCGTCACCTTTTGTGATTATCGGTGATCATGTTCTGATTATCGGTGAATATTTTGTGATTATCGGTGAAAATATTCACTGAACGAGTTCCTCACTTTTGTTTGCCAATCGTGCATGGACAACTTCTAAGCTAGAACCACTTTAATTTTATGGCATGTTGATTGACAGCCCAGAGCAATGCACCAACAGCGACCTTATCGCCAATGACTCGGAAAGTCCAGTCGTCTGCTCAATGGTCCTTTTCACGACGGGCCATTTTGTATCAAAGGGGCCACTGACAGAAGACCTAGGTACATATTCCGACGCCGTCCTTACGGCATATGGTCGATATCCATCAAAATAAATATTTCCGCGTCGCCTCCGTTGTTGCATTGCCATTGGATCACAACTCGAGCAGCATTGGAAGCCTGCGGACCAGTATGAGTAGGTACTATGTAAGAGTGTGCATAACAGTGCCTGATAAACCAGTCGTCTCTCCTCTGTAAGGTGAGTTCAAGGGTCAAAGTGATTTGTCGAGGTGAGTTGATCAGTTTACCTCTCCCAATCAAGGCAATGAAGGAAATTAAAACGCTGCCTCTGTATCATCACCGCAGTACACAGCTCGGTGGTGGCTTCTGTTGGAGTCCAAACGGTAAAGCCGACGTTTAAGTTGCACGCTCAGTCTGTGCGCTGTTGTGACGCGGTTGGTGTGCCGTGTTGCAGCGATGGACGCTCTGTCGGAGCCGGCCGTGTGCCGGTGCGCGGCCGAGCTGGTGGCGCGCCTCCACTGGGGCTCGGTGAGTCTGCAGGCGCCGCCGGGCGCGGCGCTGCTGCTGGCGCCGCTGCTGCTGGCGGTGGCGCGGCGCGGCGTGTTCGTCTCGGTGGCGCCGGACGCCGAGCGGGCCGCCGACGGCGCCGTGCTGCCGACCGACTCGCTGGCCGCTGTGGCCAACGGGCGCGGCCGGCCGCTGCTGGTGCTGGCTCTGCGCGGCGCCACCGAGCGCCGGCTGGTCGGCCTGCTGCGCCCGCTCGGCGGCGCGCTCGTGTACGACGTGCTGTCGGGCGCCGTGTACCGGACGGCCCGCTACGCTGACGTCGGTCCGCCGGTGCAGCGGCTCGGCACCTGCCATCGGCGCGTCGTACGGCTGAGCGACGACATCGGCCGGCCCTCTCCGATCGGCTGGCAGGACCTCCGACTGGTCAACACAACAATCAAAGCCGTTAGCTACAAGTCATTTGCTAACGTGGATGTAGCTGGCTTCGGTTTAACCCTTAGTTTATCCGATATGATGAAAGTACTGGAACATAAAATGCTTTTCAAGCTAAGGTACTTTGATTCTCGGCAAATGACCTATGACGAGGCACTGAAAAACGTTGGAAACGGCACTCTTCAGACAGCGGTCGATTACTTCCTGGCCCTTCCGGAGCGACTTCCATATCTGAGTTTCCCCCTTTACCTGGGCAAGGTGCACATCTGTCTGTTCTTCGGTCAGCCGCCTGCCGTCAGCCGCGCGTCACTGCTGGGCGGGCCGTTTGCTGAGGCGGCTGGACGGCTGCTGCTGGTCGGCCTCACGCTGCTGCTGGTGCTGCTCAGCTACTTGGCTACCCGCGGCGGCAGCAGCGGCGGCCCGGCCGGCAGCTGGCTGCAGGCGGTGGCGCTGTTCAGTAACCAGGGCCTGGCAGCGCGGCCCGGCCGGCTGTGGCAGCTGGTGGCCGCCGGTGTCGGCTGTCTGGCCGCCCTGCTGACGGCGCAGCTCTACACGGCCGGCCTTCTCAGCCGCGTCACCACGGAGGTCACCGAGCTGCCGTTCAAGCAGTTGGACGACGTGCTGGACGCGCCCGGCTGGCAGTGGGCCTTCCCCAAAAGCACCGCCACAGAAACTGTACTGTTACGCTCCTACCAGCCCGGTGCAAACTTTGCTGAAAGTACAGTTACCCTCAGAGATAAACCATCCATGAACTTTCCAAAAATATTCCTCAAGAAAAGCGAGGCAGAGAAATTCGCTTTCTTTTACGACAACATTGAGATAGAACAAAGGTGCGACTGGAAGGCGTGTCCCAAGCTGTGTTACCATCCGCAGGTGCTGGCTACATACGGGTACTCTGTGCCGTTTCGCCGTGACGATCCGACCGTTCCCGCCTGGTACGTGGCGTTCCTTCGTCTGTGGGAGACGGGCATCTTTTCCCGTTTGAAGCGCCACAACGAACCGAGACTGGAGGGAGTACAGCTGGCCTGCGACGTCGAGCCGCGGCCTCGGCAGCACTACGCGCCGCTGGGGCTGGAACAGTGTGTGGCCGCCTTCACTCTGCTTCTGGGAGGCGCGGCTCTCGCTTGCGGCCTTCTGCTATGTGAGCTGGCGATCGCCAGATTGAAGAGCAACCATTCGCCTGCATGATACGAAGTTCCGTCTCTCTGCTGTCAATAACTGACATTCAACCCATTAGGCTGCTAATGAAATAAAGATCAAGCTGATGACGGGTTATTAAGGAAATCATGAGAAGCTGGGTTGCAGAGGGAATAAATAATGGACATGCTAAACGCATGCCTTCATTGCACGTGCCTTACTTTGTTCATCGTTGTGACTGGAATTGGGTAACCTTATCACTCCTAATATGCGGTGTGGCAGAATACCATAATACTGTATGAGCTGCGTTAACCACGCTGCTCTGATAAGAAATATATAGCTTATTGTTTTAATGCTTTTTATAGCCATGCCGCTGCACGCAGCCATGACCGTTTTGCAGAGCGGACTGCATCGTGGATCGTCTCTGTCACTCGGGGGAGGGGTGATGTCTGACGTCACCCGAGACAGGTTGGTCGGGCCAACGTGTCTCGGCTGTTTGACATGCATTGGTGTGCCGTGCTTCACCGCCCGCTGGGGTGGCGTCTGTCGCCGCCGCGCTCCAGGAATGCGCCTCTGAGAGTCGTGTCGGCAGTGCCGGACCACCGACCGGTCCGTGTATCGTGTTTGAACGCCTCACCGGGCAACATCGCGCCGCGCCCGACCGCCTCAAACGCGTCGGTGAGTCGGCACTCGAGAGCGGTGGGCAATATCAACCCAGATAGCAAATAGAGAGTGGAATTCGGAATATGCGATTCAGCACCGCTTTGCAATAAACAATTCTTGAATTTGTTGGCATCCATTCAGAGGAAGAAGATCATTTCGTAAGGTATGTGGACAAATACTCTGTCACTACGCACTGGCAGCTAGCCATAGGGGAAGCCGGGGGAAGCCCGGGCGCGGGGGAAGCCCGGCCACCCCGTTTCCGGCTAAATTATTCACAATAAAATGCTCAACTGTTTGTCCTTTCAGCGTGGCAGCTAAGGTAACGCCAGCAAAAAAGTTAAGGCTGACAAAAATTGCATATTGTTAAAGTTATAGCGCAAAAAGGATATTTTAAGGGTTTTTAGCTAAAAAGTGAGATATGTTGCACTGTTAATGTTATACCATACAGTACTAATATTTATACGAATGTTATGTAAGGACCGTTTAAGTGTTTGTAGTGAGGGGTGACGAGGCAGGCTGGCTTAAGTATGACATTTTTTTCGAATATCGCTGTTCTAAAATAAAAATTAGCACATTGGGGTAACCCCGGGCGAGTGGCCAAGCTTACCCCCAACCGAGAGCAATGCCACTAAACCACTGTTTTCCATGAGATTATAGGTACTGAGCAGATTTGGTTTACACCTAGATCAAAGATAAATTTCGAAAATAAACATGTTATCATAGACAAAGCCAGTCATGTCACTTAAGGTCAACTAGGGTCAAACTACGTTTTTGCAGATCACGCGACAGACAATGAAGCTAGAGCTTCAAAAATGGTGTCGTTGTGTTCTTCTTCATCAGCCGAGTCGAATGATATGCAGTATGATGCATTAAGGTAAAAAGAAAAATAAATTTTAAGGAATTTTGAAATACACATTTTTTTGTCAATTTTGCATCACGACTTTCATCGACCTGTACTGTATATGTAGTAGACGCTAGCTAAAATACCAGTAGTGACATAAGCTCTAAGATGTCAAGAGCTAATCAGTACCTTAATATTTCACTTTCCGTTAATATTTGGAAAACACATAATGGTTTCATCAACTCGTTGTAAGGCGCTGGGGAGGTGGCCGGCGTTACCCCTATGCCGGGCTTACCCCAGAAAAATCAACACTTTTTTAAAACTCGATTTTCTAAACCTTATACTTATTCCACGAAACCGAATTTTTGGGAAAACACGGCCAATGAACTTAGCTAGCTAGCAGGATATCAACATTTTATACAGCACGTATGGTATGTAATAAAAATGAAAAAGAGCTTACTATGCCGGGCTTCCCCCGGCTTCCCCTACCTGAATATAATTACATGACATGAATTATATTTGTGATACATGCCTCAGGCGCCTCACACAGCTCTCCGCATTGGTCGGTGTCCGGTTCACCGTGTCCACGGTCTCCGCCAGCCTGTGTTACAATGAGGTATACGGCCGGTGTCACAAACTCACCTGGTCAGCCGCTGTGTCGTGCCCTCCTCCGCGGCGGGAGGTGCGAGCGGCTACACTGACCTGGCCCGGCCCGTTACACTGACCTGGCCAGCTGGAGTGCCGTATCCTCCTCCCCCGGCGGCACCAGAATCGCCGCCGCCCCGGCCTCCCGAGCGTGCCGCACCACCTCGGCAGCTCGCGCCAGTTCAGGGTCGGACGCGCACACCTGGAGAACACAGAACAGGCGGCGGGAGAGCACAGAACACACCTGACGCACGCAGAACAAGCACAGAGCACACCTGAAGAACACAGCAAACGCAGCGGGAGAGCATGCGCAATGGGCAACACACTTGAGTGCAGAACAAGAACAGAACACTTAAAGGGACCCTCCCACCTTCAAAACAGTTAATCGAAACGTATTTATTCGTTCCCTGGCTAATCGGATATACCTATCCGTTTAGGCTGAATGACTCATGTAAACGGGGTAAATAAATTGGTATGAAAGTGATGCCGCTCGCTTCAGAAAGAGCGAAAACGAATGTCTACCAAATTTCATCGAAAACATACCTATTCACCGGTTTTCAAGATATTAGACATTTACTTTTGGCTATTTTTTGTGATCTCCGCTGTTCCTAGCGACTTTATTTGGAAGCAATAGGTCTGAGGTGGCATTGGTGTTAACTGTCGGTGTTGATTTTGAACACCGAGTAATTGCACCATTCTTCGGCGTTACACCCCACAGTTACACAGTTGAGTTGTGTTACACCCTACCAAAACGCCTCTCATTGGTGCTTATTTTCGTGTCACCGGTATTTTCAATTTATTTTCAGTGTAGCGTGGGCTGTGGCAGCTGAAAGTGCGGCATTTGTTGCGCGCAAAGCAGCATATAGGTACCACCGCGTGCCACCAAACGTTTTAGTAAAAGATTTAAGATAGTTAGGTCTGCGCTGGCGTCACACATTCCGAGGGGGCATTGAAATGCACTATATCCCCTCTGAATCCAGAGTGCTGCAACTTTGAAATTAGATATTTTCGATTTGAGGCATTTCTCGATGTTGTGAGTGCTCAAACCGGTAACTGGAAAGTGCAAGCCAGGGACCCCATTTTGGCTATCTCCACTCAAAACTAATGTTAAGGTGGGATGGTCACTTCTAAGGAAAGACTACGCTCACTTTGCTCGCTCTGCAATTAAAAAAAAAAATTGTACACACCTATATACCTACTGTACCTATATATTGGGACATAACAATTTAGACACAGCACATCTCTCCAACAGTCGTACAGAGGCTGCTTCAATAAAACGCATCTAGGGAACGGCAATCGGTCGGAAAGGCAAAAAGTAGCCGGCCGGCTGCGTGTCTCCATTCCTGAGCCGATTGGGTGGTCGCTGCAGCGGACGGCTCTGGGGCGACGGGAGTCCGCCAGCAGCCAGCGCCGGCGACAGCGGCCCAAAAAGAAAACTGCTGGTCGAGATGGAAACACACTGAAGGCGTTCCCTTATTTGAAACGTTGAATAGTCAACACACTGAGGAAAATGGGCTTGACTGTAACGCTCTATACTGTGATGTGGGACGGCCATGACCTTACAAATTTGCAATATCCCTCGTAGACTATGTAGAATTTGATACTGGACGAGACTAGCGACTATGTAGTCTCGTAGGCCACATGAGTTGATGATCATCGTTGAACGTTCTGAACACCTAATTTTTTTCATAAGATTACACTGTCGCCGATTTAGACTTTATGCAGATTTTAAGGAAACTAAATCTCACACTTAGAATGTATGTATAATATCCATGATTTTACTTGCTTACTACAGGCACAATCGATCAACGGGCTTAATCATCCAGTAAGCGGTAAAACGTCGCCGTCGGATTGCGCCAGTCGGTCTGTCGCCACCTGGCTTACTGTTCGACTCTCTGGGTGCACTGGGGCGGCACCTGAGGGGATCCGTCTGATCATACGGAACGGAGGGCCGGGCGTCGGTCAATACAGGCACGACACCGCTCACCGGCGGCACGTGGGGTGAGAAAGTCGCTCACCGGCGGCACGTGAGGTGAGAGACCGGCGGCCACCGTGTGAGAGGAGATTCTCACTGACAGGAAGCTGTGTGAGGTGAGAGACTTACCCACCGACGGCCCTGTGAGGTGAGATAATCGCTCAACTGCCGCCGTGTGAGGTGAGAAATTCACTTACCGTGGCGGGTCGTGTGAGGGGAGATACTCACTGACCGCTGGCTGAAAGAGGCGATAGAATCGTTCACCTAGGGCCGTGTGGGGCGATAAGTTCGCTTACTGGCGCGGCAGTGTGCAAGATAGGAGGTCTGCTCACCAAGGGCTGACCTGCACACTGTATGGTGAGAAACTAATTTCGAAGTTCGGACTATGCGTGTATGATTACACGCATAGGTACTTCATGACTTGGGGTGGTGCATTTTTTACCATCATTCGCGCATTTAAAGAATAAGTTATACCTGACTTTACGTCACTTGAATGACAGCGGTATGCTGCACACGATTCAGTAGTGCAAAAATGTGCGGGATGCATGCAAAGTGTGTGCATTTTCCACCATGACTGCACTGTGACGTCACTTGTCAAGTACTCGTGGTCGTCTGACGTGTGCCGGCCCAACTAATTGGCCCTGTCGGGCGTCGGACCGGGCGCGCCGCTGGGAGGCACGCGGCGCCAGGTCCGGTTCGTCGAAGGCGCGCCCATCAGTCACGTCTGAGCTGACACATCTGACCGGTGACCGGTCAGCGTCTGTCGTCCGTCAGGCCCTCCCCGACACTCAGCGGCGCCGAACTTTGGCCGGTTCCCTGAACGGGCCGCGGTCGGCGCCCACGTGTGGAGCACCCTCCGGGACGCGACCGGCTGACACGGCTGACACGGCCGACACGGCACGGCTGACACGGCTGACATCCAGGACACCCCAGCTACCCCTGACCCCTGGCTCGGCGGTGACCGCAGTAAGGGGCCGCCCACCTCCCCACCGACAGGTCACGTCCGTCACACAGCTCAGCGCTGTGTCACGTTCCTTCGCCCGAGTCACCGGCGATCGAAGAAGTCCCTGACCCCACTCGAAGGTCAGAGGGCACTTCTCACCTGGGAGCGAATATCTGCGAGCGTTTCTTCAAAGTCTAGCACCGCCTCGGCTTGGCGGCACGTTTTGTCCATGAGACGAACAGTCTCCAGCGGGAAGGCGCCACTGGCCGTCTCTGCGGACAGCATCACGCAGTCTGCGCCGTCTGAACAGGGGAGAGAGAGAGAGAGAGAGAGAGAGAGAGAGAGAGAGAGAGAGAGAGGGAGAGAGAGAGAGAGAGAGAGAGAGAGAGAGAGAGAGATACGTCATACACGTCATGACGTGTATGACGACAGTATAAGGCGGACAGACAAGGATTGACGTCATGCACAGTGTGAAAATGGCAGATCACACACATTACACGTTCGGTGCCGTCTAAGATCAGGGAAGAGAAACGGAGAGCGACCTTATGTAAAAATGGCGAACTCAGTAACAAATGTTGAGTGCCGTCTTCAACACCACAAAGGGATAAGTAGTGAAACATCCAACAGAGTGGGTGCCGTTCGAAAAAACTGAGACCAGCGCTTGTTGTTTACCACTTTTTATGTAACTACATTTCCTCACTGAGCTCGCTCCTGTCTTGGAAGTGTTACCATAATTCCCGCTACCTGACGGCGCGCTTCCTTACCGAGTACTGCGTTAGCGACGTCGGCCAGCTCTGCTCTGGTGGGCCGCGGTCGGGTGACCATGGTCTCCATCATCTGGGTGGCGCAGATGGCAGGCTTGCCGGCCTGCGGTGCCACACGGAGGGCATTATCATATCTAACGCGTGTGGTCACGTATGTCCGACGCCGGCCCGCCGACCGACAACTGTCTCCCAACGGGAGTGGTGCATGGCACTAGGCTCGACGACATCTACTGAACGGAAATACCTGCATGCTCTCAGATACCAGACGGCGAGAGATTGTACTGAGACCAATAAACCGTCACACAAATAAACCACCAATGCTCCTTTTTAGGTGTTAAGCACTGCTAATTTGCAGTAGTTGTGCATGAGCTCGACATTCCCAGAAGTTTTGGAATCGGTACAATGCATTGGCTTGATATGCAATATTTGCGGCTGACGGCTTGTTGCTAGGTTTCCATGCCTCCTTGGTTTACTTGTATCAATGGGTGCATGATGAGATTCGAGAAATAGGTATACCTGGCTTTGTGTGCTTTGTGGTTATTTTTGCATTGAGGCTAATGACTAGGACCAATATATGGTGATCATTACTGCGCTTCATAACATCACACTACATATATGTCCTATATGTTCATATTACCTCTTACACACATACAGTACACCAATGGACCGTCGTTTTGACCCGGCCTCGCAGACTGTCCTTATACAGAGAAAGCGATCATTGCCCCTCCCGGTGGACCGTTAATACATCGCTCTAACGAAGAAATAGTATCTAATCGAGCAGCCATCGACCGACCACAAATGGTGCCGCCAACATTTCCTATTAATGCACCTGCCACAGCGGACAAAAACGACCATTAGACACATGAGGCGATCCTCTGCGGCCGGTGGCACTCACCATATTGCACTTGGCGATGATGGATTTTTGCGCGATGAACACTTTTTCCGGGGGTAGCTCGACACCCATGTCGCCTCTGGCCACCATGACTCCGTCCGACTCGGCGATGATGGAGTCGATGTTCAACAGGCCCTCCAGACTCTCAATCTTGGAGATTATCTTAATATGCCGACCGTCCTCGCCTGACGCACAAAGCGGCTCTCAAACTTTGACATTGTGGGCGAGCGAAAACTGTTTGGACAGAAAGTCATGCGTTCGGGGCCTGGTTGAGAGATCAGCGACAATGAGTGCCTCGGAGTGAGCGGGCGTCCGCGGTTAATTAGCTAACTTTGGACGCCATTGTTCTGACCGTGTGCATTTGGATCAGCATACTAATCACCTGGAGCTGAGCGGCCGTCTCTGCCAGCTCCGAGCGAGGGCGAATTCGCCCGGTGTGGGGACCGGGGCGGGGTGGGGGCGGGGAGCGGCGGAGACAAATGAAGGCCCCAATGGGCACAGACGGAGCGCCAACGGACGGCCCGGTGGTAATAGACAGACGGAACTGAAAGACAGCAACAGTGCCGGAGACAGATGCACACTCAGAGTGATTAAGAGAACTGGCAGATTCAAAGTGGGGTTTTAGAGAAGCAGCCGAACAATAGAAACTAAAACTGAATGTGGTGCAGTAGGAATCATTCAGAGAAGATGGGTTCTTCTAACTGAAAGCTTGCATGGCATACAGGTGAGTTTTGTTTTGAGCATACTTTAATAGAATTACAATGCATTAATATTTTTCCTATTTATCAGTGTGAACCTATCATTTTTATCGGAGTGTCATCTCGCTTTAAACAATATTGCTCCAGGCTCAATGGCGCAGTTATATTTGCATCACCGGCGTCCAGTGATTTACGACATGTTTACGAGAACAGCAACGGAAAAGTGCCGTCCATAATAAAACAATTCGATTAGGGCTTGGATGTAAAGCTCTAAAGACAACATTTATTGGTCACATCGGACTGCAAACGTCGACACGGAGTGAAAAATGCATCTAGAAGCTACCGATATTTTACCAATTTCAGCACAGGCCAGTAGCAGTACGAGTTAAGGCAGAAAATTTGAGTGCTTTATAATGTCTGTCTACATCATTCGTAAAGACACCAACCTTAGGTTTGATTAGGATTTTAAAATTAATTGGAACTTCAACTTTGATTAACACTAAATTCATCAATTTCAATATTGCTGGGTACTTACAAACGTTGAATCCCGTCTCGACACTGTGCTATCCATGTCTCTACCACCTTGCCCACTAGTTCCCTTTCTCCAGTCACTGTTTGCAAGTAGCCTCCTTTTGCTCCCGACCGCCCAAACACTTATATACTGACCCAATGCTCTGCGCAGCTGCCGCACGCCGTCCCTGTCGCGGACGAAGGAGGCGAACACGAGGTCGACGGGTAGGGCGGCGGCCAGCCGCAGATCCTCCCGGTCCTGTTCGGTTACCGCCGGCAGGGAGAGCGCCGCGCCCGGCACACAGACGCTCTTCCTGGACCCGAGCTCACCGCCGGTCTCCACGGCGCAGAGTACTGAGTCGCCGTCTGCGGGACAGACGGAGGTCAGGGAACGCGGAAGCACACCGCTTTGTGATGAATGCCGATAGAATGTGACATTCTGCATGACCTTCCAACCATTTCGCTATGCGTGTGTATTATTACTTGAACTCTTCTCATCCGTCTTTGGCCCTTTAGTTTTACATAAAATCCTACAAAGACTGCAGCATCGCCCACTTCTCCCTACCTGTTTGTGCCTATACGCTCCAATATTTTCAGCCAGCCGTCACTACACCCCTAGAACCCACCGATCCCTATCGGCACCCATCCCATCCGGTCCTGATGTCCATGTGACGACACCCAGCCAGCCCTCTGTCCGTCTGCAGGGACCTTCCGCGACCCGCTCAATCTTGGTGAGCCCACCCCGGGGACGGTCGATTTGTGACCGGCGAGACGCCGCCGCCGTAAACAGGAGCTCGTGGCCGGGGGGGGGGGGGTAGCTGCTGCCCCCAGTCCTGCTCGACGGGCCGGGGTGCAGCAGGTTGTCCGTGCTGCCGCCCGCGGGGAGCTGTGACCGGAATGAGCACCGTGATTTGTGGCCGCCGGCCGGGAATTTAGAGCGCTCAGAAACTGTCCAATGTCGGATGAAATGTTTCAATTTATACGGAGACATTCAGTGGTCGGCTGTAACCAACGGCGAATAAATGAACGGACGCTATTATTCCGGCATAAATAGTGGATGATGCAGCGGCGGGCCATGATCTCCTTTGCGTGAGGAGCATCTCATACATACCTACACTGCCCACTTTGTATGGGCGGTGGACGTCAACAAATATCGTAGGAATTCCATTCGGCCAGACCACAGGTCACGTCACCATAAGCGTTTCCTCGCCGTATAACCACAACCGTAAGGCATAAACAAACCGTAACCGTAAAAGGTAAACAGAGCAGCCATTTTTCTCTCGAGTTCATTTCGTCACCACTATCTCACACATCATGTGCCAGGTCGTTGCCATTCTAATCCACTAATTCCTTGCAGATGCATGCAGTTTTCTGCGCAAATCCCTTCACAAGCAGTCCAGCGTTGATCTAGACTGGCCACAGGCTCACTCACCAACTGCAGAGACGCGGAGCGAGATCAGTCCGTCGTCCAGGTGAATCGGGTCGCCGGGCCGCACGCAGCCGGCCAGCCCGCTGTAGTCGACGTAAAGGTGACGGGCGCAGGAGCGGTGTCGGTAGTGAGGGTCCGAGGTGAGACGCACAGATGAGCCCGCCACCAGCCTCACCGAGCCGCTGCCGTCCTGGAGCAACACAGCTCGGTACACAGCACGGCAGCAGCAGCAACAGGTAACGGATAGAATGGAAACGCAAAGCATGGCAACGGACAGAAAGACACCGCACGGATATAGATTTTTGACTGGTGACAGCTATTTATGTCAGCGCAGGTTACGGCAGGCGACGGGTGTCGATTGAAACGTTCCTCATTACATTCGTGTACATACGTATAAACAACACGGGATTATTCAGCCGATTCGGACAGCCAGCCAAGCGCGAGTAACACTGGTGACACTGACAGCAAGCTGCAAGGGTTCTAATTTCAGATATAAGCAGCAAATTGTTTCTGCTGAGGGATCAGGTGATAAATAATTTTTATTACACAAGAAATAGGCAAGAATTGATTAGATGATAAAAGTCTATTGGACATTGAGCAAGCTAGCAATGAATGACGCCTTAGTTGTAAAAAATAGATATTAAATAGGAAAACAAAGCTTTTATTAGTGATAGTTAATTGCAAGCGGCTGAACAGAAGTCCTTCGTAACTATTCATAATCAATGGTTGAAAAGACGTACCACCACTCCATCCCACTCAAAGACCACTCAAAGTCAGGCCGCAGCGTACCGTCTGACCTGGTTGTGCAGCGTCCCGGTGCGCAGCTCAGGACCCCTGGTGTCCAGGGCCACCGCCAGCGGTGGTGAATCAGGACAGAGCGCGCAGGCTCTCCGCAGCCGGCGCACCCTCTCAGAGTGCTCAGCGCGGGAGCCGTGTGACATATTCAGCCGCGCCACCGTCATACCGGCCGAGGTCAGAGCCGACATTGCCTCCAGCGAGTCGCAGGCAGGACCTGGGGACAGACGTTTTACATTATATCTAGTTTCAGTGGTCAAAGCTGGACATGAGAGAGAGATAGAGAGAGAGAGAGAGAGAGAGAGAGAGAGAGAGAGAGAGAGAGAGAGAGAGAGAGAGAGAGAGAGAGAGAGAGAGAGAGAGAGAGAGAGAGAGAGAGAGACAGAGAGAGAGAGAGAGACAGAGAGACAGAGAGAGAGAGAGAGAGAGAGAGAGAGAGAGAGAGAGAGAGAGAGAGAGAGAGAGAGAGAGAGAGAGAGAGAGAGAGAGAGAGAGAGAGAGAGAGAGAGAGAGAGAGAGAGAGAGAGAGAGAGAGAGAGAGAGAGAGAGAGAGAGAGAGAGAGAGAGAGAGAGAGAGAGGAGAGAGAGAGAGAGAGAGAGAGAGAGAGAGAGAGAGAGAGAGAGAGAGAGAGAGAGAGAGAGAGAGAGAGCAATAGATCATATATAACTCATTCACCCTTCTCTGCATCGTTCTATCGCTGGCTGATATGTGGGATGGCTAGCGAACAAAAAGTAGGTACACAATTTGTTTGATGCTTATTTTTCCCGTTGCTTAGACCATTCTAGCTCAGTAAGATTAAAAAAGTATGCCTAAGCCTTTGTAGTTGTGCATCCCTTGCTCTGCCTGAATGAAATAACTTAGAGCTTTTAGTTATGCCAGACAGTCAATAACAATCTCATCTGAGAAGCTTGATTGGTGTTTAATGTAGAGCCTCACATCCCTCTCGTTATTAAATTTCAGTGGTCAGATACTAGTTATTTTGATCAATAACACACAGAAGCAATATCATAAACGTATTCACTATGAATGATCCTCGTCCACCACGCAGTCGTTCACTGAAATCCTCCTGAAATAAATCTCGAGTTACAGTCCCATCTTCTCGGCTCGCCTAAGCTTCAGCCTACAGCCGAGGAAACTACCCGGCGTGGTAGACTAGCCCGCAGCACACCCCTGCCATGCGGAACAGTCTATACGCTCCGTCACCGCTCGCCGCCCGGCCTTGGGCTCGCGAGCGGGAGGCGAACGAACAGCTTCAGTCGGAACCGATTCCATTAACCCGCGCCCCGCTGGGGGTCCTGGATTTCCACGCCCTGCTGGGGGGGGGGGTGTTTGAACACCCCCCCCCTTGTAACTCGGCTCCTGGGCCACGTAGCGATACGCGGAAGGCGGCGTTCGAAAGAGCGTAAAAAATAATGACGAAATCACTTCGGTCAATTTTTTGGTCAGGTCAAAGGTCAGGTCACCAGAGGTCATTGAAGGCAAAATTTCGCCGATTTCCAGGTCGAATGTCGAAAATTTCCAAAAAGCTAACGCATAACTCGGGAACCAATAGAGCTACAGCGCCGCGGAAAAGCGCATTCGATAGCCCTATTAACGCCCTTTCTGAGTAATTCTCTCAGATTTGACCTAACGTCAACGGTTTTGCCTGCAGGGGGCAAAAACTGCAAAAATGACCGATTTTTTTCGGAAACAGTTTTTCTGCAATAACTTTTGACCCAAGCCTTGTACGAGCTTACTTTTACCGGCATCGTGTTCCTCTCGTCAAGACGCATCGAATGAACTATAACTTGACCTTGAAAGGTCAACTTGAAAATTTGACCTCAGGTCAAGGTCATGACCTGACCGGAAAGGGTCATATTGCATATCAGTCGATCCGTATCGTCGAGCTGAACACATATAAGGCGTTTTCATCGCTCTAGCATGCCTCTATCAAAAGTTATTTGCGAAAAACTGTTAGATACCATTCGTGACCTAAGATGACCTCAGGGCACAAACAAGGGTCACGGACACCATTTTCATATTCAGTGTGTCTAAACCACTTGTAATTCGGTGTTTGGGAGTGTTTATAATGTCTTTTGTCCAAAGGAGGCGCATTTCAATTTTCTCCCATTGACTTATAATGGGGAGGTCGCAAAATTGACCTGACCTTAGGTCATCGATATCAAAATTCTGAGATATACATTTTGTACATGCTATTGCTCTTAGCAATCGCTGAAAGTTTCAAAGCGATCGGTCACTCGGTGTAGCTATGACAGACATTGAAACTTTTTATGAGGTGAGGTCACTTCAAGTGACCTGGTGACCTGACCTTGAATGACCTTGGTCTGAAATTTTCACAACATGTGTAGAATTGATGTATGATAAGGTGTACCAAAAACGGCGGCGCTCCGCGCCGCCGTTTTTGAGATATTCGCGAAAAACCACAAGGGGGGGTGTTCAAACACCCCCCCAGCAGGGCGCGGGTTAACGAGGGGGTCGTCGGGCTGGCAGTTTGCTAGGACATGACGACGCCAGTGACATGAACAATGAGCTTTGAGCAGGGAACGCTGGCATTGTGCTTTGTGTTCCAGCTGTACCGATATTTTAGTATTAAAGATTAAATGAGCTAAAAAGCATTATAACCCATATGTGATGCGTGCAATGCATGCATCTATTCATGGAGTTGATGGTGGTTGCAACATCAATCCAAGATTTAATATTGTGCCGTCTCCAATCAACAAAGTCTGTCAACAGAGCTCCCACCACTCAACGGTGCACTACCATTTTATCAACATTTTACCGTTTCCTCATCATTCGTCACCAAATTAGTTTGTCTCTCACCCTTTTCTGAGCCATCGTCTGAGAATACACAGGGAACACACCAAAGGCTCGCAGGTGCTCAATTTACAATCACGGACTCCCTGTCACAGCGTAGCCTACTGCCTATGTAGCTAGTCGCTAGAGCGATGAGTAAATAAAAACCGTAGGTATAGCTGTTCCCATGTTCTGTAGCGCTGCTATCAGGAGCAGACGGCGTGGCCTGGCACTAACTTTGCTGATTTGATCGCGTCACGTAGACCTGTTGACAAACTCAGCCGAGTAATGACTTTTACCAGGAAAATTGCTTTTGGCTGATAAAGGTCGCACGTGCGACATTCACAGAGTAATTAATTAGATTGCTTCTAGACCTGCAGACGGATGCCAGAATCGATGTTGTTTATGTGTGTGTGCTTTTTCCAGAAACAAAACTTGCTTTCTCAAAAGATAAGCCGACAAAACCATGCCATTAGTTAAAACTGCTTCGTCAGAATAATCACCTTGAGCCCGCATTCATTCGGTGGGATGCAAAAGTAGTCCGGATGATGATACTTGTTCAGATAGCTAAGTAAGTAACCTGCGCGATCTGCAGCATTCATCGTCAGCCGTTGTGAACAGTGCCGCGCAGCTGTGGACACATCTCTCGAGTCCCGCTCTGGGCAAACCTCATCCACATTGGGGACGCTGTCCGCTCGTCGGGCGATCGGAGCTGACAGTCGATGTCGTACTGGCGGCGCTGTCTCGGCGACAACAAACGGCCCGATCTGCGGCGACCGACTGCAGCCCGATTGCTGTGCTTGGTCGAGGGAGCCGCGGCACCTGGTGCTGGGTAGTCCGCGGCTGCACCACTGCCGGGGATGGTGACTGTTGGTCTGATCCATGGGTGGGCGGTGATTGACGCTGCTGTCAGCCAGTCTCAGATAACTGGGAGTCTGTGGACCGCGCACAAACAGTCCGAGTCGGCAGAACACCTTCACAAGATACAGAGCCAATGGTCACGCAGAACACGGATTTAGCTGCATTAGCGGACCCGCAGGTCCGCTACCCGGTGGTGGAGTTACATTGCCCGGCGGCGCGGCGGTTCTCTGCCCGCGGCGTCTGAGCCGCCCCTGTGCGCGGTGTCGCCCTTAGCCGGACCGGCCGGCCGCTCCCCGCGGAATGGTGATCGGACAAGAGTCGTTTGTCTCCCTTCCAGCGCTGGCGGCAACAAATAGCGGCGCCGGCGCTGCAGCGGCGCGGCCGGCCCGGCGCCCAGGCGTGTGCCGTGAAACAAGCCACTCGGGCCGGCGCGCGGTGGTCCGGCACGCTCCGGCCAGGGGGATATATACTGGCCAGACCGGCCGCGCAAACGGCGAGATAGCTGGAACAACTCGAACATGTGGATCGCTTCTTTGGGTGGCATATGGTCACTACCAGCTTCATAGAGGTGGTGTGCAGTGTGCCCTGTGGTGATATTTGCGTTTTCTGTAAAATAGTTGATAAATCATGAAAGGGAGCTAGCAGGATGATGACTAGGAGATCCAGTGGATGAAAATGCATTTACGTGGTTATATGCAATATTTTGAAGCTTTACCGAGCAAGCTGGATCAATAACATGACATTCCACGCTAAGAGAAAGTCCTTATGAACCCTTGAAAGCAAGACGAGTCTCGTTCTTCCCGGCTCGGGCTCCTTGTTTTTCTCGCTGCTCTGTTTATGCTCCGCTCTTAATCCCTTCTGTTTGCCCAAAGCTTTCACGCGCACGGTCATTTGGGCACCTGTGACCCGCCAAGTGTTTCCGACAACACCACGCGTCCGGTGCAAGTAGCCCTTTAACACGCTGCCAGAGGCCGCAAACAGGGCCATAGCTTTGGCGCCGCCCAGGGTCTGTGCCGGAGCAGACAGGGATATCTGCTCCTTGCAGCGCTGCGGACCATGTATGCACAGGCCGGGATCAAAGGCGCGGCTCGCGAGCTGCAGCGGCGCCTTGTCGCGCGGCTTCAGGCTCGGCGGAGGCACGTGGCCGCTGGCGGGCGGCCGGCCGGACAGACGACGGTGGTTCATAGTGGCGGCACATACGACGGATGTCCCAGAGCATTGCCGCCGATGTCTCACACCGAGACGGTATTGATCCGCACACGGCCGGCTGCAATAGCGCGCTATCCGCAGAATGCATGCGTCGTCTTACATCCAAGGACACTGTGTGGCTGACAACCAGCTTACCTTGATTTGATTTTTACATCGAAGTTGCGTGGCGCAATCGTTTCTCAACACGTCTCTTAAAATCAAGATGTCTTAAAGACGTTAAATCTCATGCTAATTAGCACACTCATCTGCATTTCAGCTTTTACCCAGAGCTGAGATGCACTCGCCTTGCACACACCGCCCACCCTCCCTCACCCACCGATAGTGCAGACGATGCCCGTCCTGCGGACGATGGTCGGCGGTGTGCGGACGTCCAGGGAGGCCAGGTATTGCAGCCGGGACCCGGCGCGTGCTGGCGGCGGCACCGGCCCGGGCGGCTGGTGGGACGCCCATCGGCGGCCTGCCGTCAGCTGAAACCGGCCACAGCAGCCAAAAAACGTCTGACATGACACTTGGGAGCGGTTTCCAATTCTGGGCTTGTGCTTATGGGCAATGGATGACTTCTCAGGCTACTGGCTAATGCAGATTCACAGAATTGTCATCGGAATTAATTTGTATCAAATGCTGGTAGTAACCGCGCAATACCCTGGCTTTAGTTCACTTATGCCATAGGTATACCTACTTATGCAGTCTTGAAAATGAAATCAAAACGAAATAATAAAGCCAAAATTAGAGCAGAAAAACTCATTTGCGATGTGATGAGCCGCTTTTGATGATCTCATTCCCTGAGCCTAACGATAAAATAATCCAAGATCAAATAGTGATGCGTCGTATTGCAGAAGTTCTTTGGCTTCGGTATAACCATAGTGTAATAAATAACATTTATTTATTACACTAGTTATTTATTACACTATGGTATAACCTATAAAGGAATAATAATGATGTAGGCATTCTCCACTTATGTGCATGACAATTCTATCTACTAATGCAAAAACAATAATGTATCAGAGCAAACGTTTGTCATGACGTTGCTGGTAAAGATGGTTATGCGATATATGCAGTGTGGGACATCCAAAAACTGTTCTTTTACCTCATTTCAATTTGGTATCGGTTTATGATTCGCTCGGACGCAATATAATACAGCATACGACTCGCAGTTAATGCACCAACGAATCGTTCATGCTAATGTGCAACATAATTAAACCTTATTATGAATCGCTAACGCCCGAGAAGCACATGAAAGTATACCAGGCCTTTGATCAGAGGTCATTAAAAGACGGAAAGTTTTCTCCGGCAATCGCTGCCTCTTTTAATATTGCGTTCATTTGCATTATTTTGCAATATTCCATGATTCCTTGCACAAAAATAGAATATTGTGAAGTCATAACGTACCTTGCCTGTTGCCAGGCATTTCTTGTCACAGTGTATTGTTGTTCTCCCAAAAGTTGTGTACAAAGCTCTAAGCTTGATGGAAACGAACAATGATATCCCCCGAAGTGCTTATAAGCCAGGATAAAGCCCACCTGAAAGTCTCGCAAGTTCTTCACTGCAAAGCCGGCATGATGGAATTGTGCTGTAAAAAGTCGTTCACAGAAGTTGGCCACCATCGCGTCGGCAGCACGCGAGTCAAACAACTGGCAGGCGGGAACAGCGCACGGCACCGGAGGATGGTGGGCTGGGCCGGCCAGCGGGGAGTTGGCCCGCGTCCAGCGGCCCGAGCTGACATTGGCCCCACTGACCTCGCCCTGTGGTGGCGGCTGCCAGCTACAGGTGGCGTGTGCGTGTGTAGGCATGGGTATGGCTTTTAGGTCGGCCGCCAGAGAATGTTCAATCATGATATGCCAGTCATCATTTGCTTGATGGGTTCTTTATCCATTAGCGGTTGATCAAAATTACTGGCATTGTTAGAGAAGAATCCACTTATGAAAGCTAGGTGGATATGCAATGGAGAAACAGTTTGAAGTTTCCATGGCGTATTCATTTTCTTTTAAGTTTTGTTAACCCGCGCCTCACGGGGGGGGGGGCTATTCATAGCCCCCTCCCGTTTTTCTGCAATACCTTCCAAACCGCTTGACGTATCAACGCCAAACTTTCAGTACCTTCGGCTGCATCAATTTGACACCTTGTGTCAAAATATAAACTTCGTAGCTACCATAGGTCGGTCGGAAATGACGTCAGAGTGACGTCATGTTTGGCCGATTAAATTTCTTCAAAAATGGCCAAGTTATACGCATTATTGCAAAAAAATCAGTTATAAATTTTTCAAATCAATTTTTCAGTACGTATTTGACATCGTACACCGATACAAATAGCACCATCGTGTTCCAGAGCTCAAACTGCATCCGATAGACATTTTTTTTTTTGTTGAAAAATTTCAACTTCGAAATTTGACCTTTTTTGACCTGAAAGTGACCTGAACTTAGCTATATTCAGATGAAAATGGCCTCAAATGACACAGGCGACACCGAATGCGAATTATATGGCCTAAATGGACCATAAAACATGTGTCACGTGACCGACTTATGACATAAAATTTCCGTGACCTGTGATGACCTGACCCTGACCTGAAAATCAAAGCACAAGTTTGGTACCCTCAGGGTTTCTAAAGCATCTGTTCACGAGTGTGTAAACCAAAAATCAGCCTGATGACTTGTAAGACGGCAGCCAGAGCCCAAAAAGTGAACAAGCCAAACATCGATAATTATTACTTTGACCTGACCTGTGACGTCATCGGTGACCTCGAGATCAATGAAATTAGGTTTCGCTCGACAGTTTTTCCGGAGCTATCAGATGCCGTTTGAATTTTGACGATCGGCCCAGTAGTTACGGAGTTAGTAGGGGGAGCTATGAATAGCCCCCGCCCCCAGTGGGGCGTGTTATACACAGACCCCAGTGGGGTGCGGGTTAAAGATCATGACAGCAGATCAACACTTAGCTTAATCACGACTATACACTGATCTAATATTACAGGCCGGTCTTTAAATTTCTGGCCTTGTCACCACTTGAGGAAAAAATGAGTAATTTTCAAGTAAAATTAAGCAAAGGGGAGGACTCACTTCCAACCTGAAACGAAACACCGTGCAAAGATAACTAGAGGATGATGATAACTTCATGCATAATGTTCCTGAATATAACAGAGCCATCATCTCATTCTGCAAACAGCATCAGCGTTCATTCCCTAAACTGGATTGTTGTCCTCTTCACGGCGAATGAAGTGCTCCTCTCAGAGCACTATCCGGTGAGTATGTGTGTGTGGGAGGCAGGGTGGCTTCATCGCGGTCCAGACGCGCCCCAAGCAGCCCCGGCGGTGCTCTCTGCGCCGTCATTGTGTGGCCGTTAATCGTCGTTTTTGCCGTCGGCCGTCGCGGGATGTATGGTGGCGTCATTTCCCGGCTGGCCGTCGGCTCTGACGCGCCCGCCCCGTTTAATTTCCGCAGTCGTCGCCGCCGACGGCGGTCGACCGGTTAATCTGCCGCGGCCGAATCGGCCGGCTTTTTGTCCTGTCGCCCTCTCCAGGCCACTTCCAGGCAGCGAGCGACGAATAACAGGCTCGAACGGGTTCTCAACTCTGGAAGGGTATGTGAGGATCGTCCCTGGGGGAACTGTTGTCGGTTTGAAGTCCGCTGTCAACATGTTTGCAGTGCGTGGGGCGTCTAGGGTATCCACTTAGCAGGGAGACGCATTAAAATTGGAGGAGGCGCTGCCCCGCGGTGGGTCGTCACCGGCCCGGCTCCGGTGACACCGACACCTGATTGGTGGCTCGCGGTCGCCGTGGGCCGCGGCTGGTCGGTCGTGCAGGGTGAGTGACTCGTCTCAGACGACCCCCGCCCACCCTGCCGAGTCGCGCGGACAAGTTGGGCAGTGTCGGACGAGGCCCGTCAGTGAAGTCAGAGGACGGCTCACTGGTCGCCGGCGGGACCGATTTCGACGCGGTCAGCGCGGCAGCCGGCCAACTTTGATGCCAAGCGGCGGGGTGGGGCAGGGGTGGAGCGGCTTTCAGATTACATCAACACATCAGCATGGAGTTGGAGTTGACCAGATCGCTGAGAAACGACTGTGCGTCGAGCTGACTTCAAATAGGTGACGAACCACATCGGCCAATTCTTGTAAAGTTGTTCCTTTTCGTCTCTTGTCAAACCTACGAACGATTGGGCACTACATTACAGTTATTTGTTTTGTTATTCAACACTCCTTTAAAATGGACAGTGTCATATTTGTGTCATTTAGGGCAAACGCCCCCAGGCAGCGTCCGAAATCGACAATACGACAATAATGTAATTTACAGTTTTCGACAATAAAACGAAAACTAAATAAACAACTCTTATCAGGAAAAAAATATTAACCCTCGCCCTGGCAGGGGGGGGGGTCGATGCGACCCCCCTAAGGTTTTTCGAAGATAGCGTAAAAACGGCGGCGTGCAGCGCCGCCAAATTTGGTACAGCCTATGGGGCAACCTTTTTACATATGACCTGAAAATTTCAGGTCCGAGTGATCTAAGGTCAGGTCACCAGGTCAGAAAAACCGGTACAAGGTCATGGTCAAATTTCAATTTTCTTTTATCACCTGTCCAACTCACAGTTTTGGACTGATTTCCTTCAAACTTTCAGGATGTGCTAAGTTCACCGAGTTGTATAACATATAGTTCGGGTTTTTTGAGGTCACTGACCTGAGGTCAGTTGGAGGTCATTACGTCGTAATGTTAAGCCTATGGGAAAATACTAAATTCGGAAAATACTGGAGATATCCGCTTCATTCCAACACTTTTGTGCTTTGAAACCACAGTACTTAACAGCAGGTCACTTGGTGCTTCTTTGTTTGGTGTACTTATACATGGGTCAGGTCAAATGAGGTCAACTGAGGTCAAATAACGTTTTTGCCAATAACTTGGCACACAATGACGCTAGAGCTTAAAAAATGGTATCATTGTGTTCCTGGTGATCAGCCGAATCGAATGATATGCAATATGATGCAATTTTGTTAACTTGAACTTAATTTATAAATTTAAGTTTACTTAAAATTTAAGAAAAACTTTAAGTACACTTAAGCAAGCTAAAAAGTATATCATTCGACGCGCCTTGACGTGCTGAGTTTACTGGTGCTTTTCTTTTTGCTCTATCTTAATTAGATCAAAAGTTATAAGCGAAAAACTTTTGACCTGTTTTTAGCGAAAATTTTACATTTATACCCCCCAAACCCCCCTAAATATTGACCTATAGCAACCAAATTTGCACAGGGGCGAGAACTCCAAGGGGCCCACCTACCTACCAAATTTGGTGTTTCTAGGTGCCATAGGAGCCAATCGCGAGGGGGGGGGGGGGTCGCATCGACCCCCCCTGCCAGGCCGTGTTATGAAAAATGCCCTGCCAGGGCGAGGGTTAAACTACACAGCAGTGCGAAAGGAATAGAAATTCACTGAGTTTTTTTAATATGGAAAAACGTTTTAGGGTATGCTCTCCTACCGCAGCCTACCAGTAGCGCCTCTGAAGATGAATAAGTAATTAGCATATGTGTTCATTATCAAGTAAATTGCTGTTCAATTATTTATACACCGCACTTTTGTATGCATAGGTATTTCATTCGGTTCTTTGAAAATCCACTTTTTCTCCGGAAGGTCTTTCGCACCATTAAAATGGAATAGGTTGTAACGTCCACATTGTCCTCTGAAACAAACATTAGGAGGTATTTTAAGAAATGTAAAATGGTGATGCAACGATCTGGCGTCTGGTGACAGTGATGAAGATGATATCGACTCTTGTATGTATCTGGAAACAAGTTATTGACCGCGACATAAATATATATTGCAAGCACTTCGCGCATACATGCATAGATGGATTTATGTTTACACAGTAAAGTCAAGCACTTGCGCTTCAACAGATGACTGTGGAACATTTGGTACATAGGACATGAAAGGGCAAGGTGAAAGCATGAACGAACATCGCACACATTTCATCAATGACAATATTGTGCTGTAGCCTGCAGTCATGGCGCCTTGTTAAAGAGGGAAACAAGGAAGTTGGAAAATTCAGCACTAACGCGACCACTTCATGCTCAATTATTTTGATTCGATGAATCGTTAATTAGAACCTCAGATGATCACATTGTTGGTATTGTCGCAACTTATCTACGACGCCTACAATATACCCATTTCTTGATTAAATTCTTGAATAACTGTTCGCAAATATTTCTCACAGGCAGTCTCACTTTCAGTCAAGAGCCATATCAGTTAAAAAGCCAGGAAAAAATACGTAGTGACATCAACGGACCTTCAGAGCAAAGCACGAAATGGTAATGTATGAAAGCCAATGACGTTTAGCGTGACATATGAACTCATTTCATGCAGTGAGCTGTTTTCGATAAGAGCTGACGCATCAGCATATGTATACCGTTGAAACGATGCTTCCACATAATGGATTGCACATAATCCTAATCCATCCATCCTCAGGATACATTATACATTTCAATACATAATTTCATTATCACGTACTTAAAGGGACCCTCCCACCTTCAAAAAAGTTAATGAATTGGTATGAAAGTGATGTCGCTCGGTTCAAAAAGGGCGAAAACGAATACATATCTACCGAATTTCATCGAAAAACATTCACCGGTTTTCAAGATATTAGGCTTTTACTTTTGTTTAGTTTTTGGGATCTCCGCTGTTCCTAGCGACTTTATTTGAAAGTGCGTCACTTGTTGCGCGCAAAGCAGCATATACCACCGCGTGCTCCCAAACATTTTAGTTTTAGCGCTGACGTCACACATTCAGAGAGGGCATTCTAATACATTAGCCCCTCTGAATCCAAATGCTGCAACTTTGAAATTAGATATTTTCGATTTGAGGCATTTCTCGATCTTGTGAGTGCCCAAACCGGTAAGTGCAAGCCAGGGACCCCATTTTGGCTATCTCAACTCAAAATTAATGTTAAGATGGGATGGTCACTTGCAAGTGACTGATCTTCAACACAAAAGACATGCCATATATGATCATTATATGATTATATGAAAAACAAAACAGAAACAAAGATAACACTGACATACATGAACTCCCATGTTCTAATTCTAGGTACGGGACTTGGCAACATCTTTGTTTGTGACACGGTATAAACACTTCGTTACATGAGCTGACCTGTGCCTGCTGTGGGTGCCGATCTTCAGAACTTCGTCTCCGAGACACAACTGCATCGACAACGGCTTAGGTAAGCAAGTCCTTGCATACATACTTTGATAGTTCAGAAAAATGCGCTCACACTTAACACGCGATCCAGAGGAACAATCACACCTCCCCAAGCCTGATCTCCAAGCCATGCTTTTAGCGTCAACACAATATAACCTTTGAGCACTGAAACTTGACCAAGAAAACCACCCAATCACCTATTTATAGGTATAATGCAATGACAGAACACGGAAACATACAATTTTAATCATTATGATGGGGATTCCCATGCATTCTCTTCCGCAATATCATTCCCTGATATTCAAAAGGAAAACATGATCTCCGATACTAATGACAGACTGTTATGCACCTTCCTTGGCTTACCATGCATGCCCAAACGCGGAATTAGCATAATGTTGCGTTATGAAACTAGCCGCGGCAGATCAGCTATCGATCAGTACGCCCCATCCCTCTCTCCGATCTCCAACTCTCTCTCTCTGTCCCTCTCTCTCTCTCTCTCTCTCTTTCTCTCTCTCTCTCTCTTTCTCTCTCTCTCTTTCCCCCCTCTCTCTTTCTCTCTCTCTCTCTCTCTCTCTCTCTCTCTCTCTCTCTCTCTCTCTCTCTCTCTCTCTCTCTCTCTCTCTCTCTCTCTCTCTCTCTCTCTCTCTCTCTCTCTCCTTGATCACGAGCGCAGCAAAATGACTTGGTTTCTCACTCCAACCGCCAAAAAGAAGATGGAACACCCGGCACACACCGGTCTAGCGACCCCCGCCCAGTCCCCACCACCGACCGCTGCCACCGCTGGCGGCCGCCAATAACTCAGCCCGGCTGCATTGTCCGGGACACACTCTGTCCGTCCCCTCTGTCCGGACACGCTCCGTTCCACCCACTCTGCCCTGATCCACTCAACCATCACCTCTGTCCCGGTCCGCTCATGTCTCTCACTCGATTCTCTGCGGCCAATATCGCGCGGCGGGTCAAAGTTCAGAGAGTTCCATGCCATCCACCTTCTGTGTCGAACGACGGAGCCGGGTGACGTCCAACTCTCCACACCAGCGCGGCACCGCGACTGTCCAGGGACCCGGGTGCACCCTGTGATAAGCGCCCGAGAGGTCAGACCAGCATTTAGTGCCGCTGATTTGGAGACCCATAGTTCACAGCAAAGGACGATCGTCCGACAAGAGCCGACGCGCTGTAATGATATTCAGTGACTTATGGTGACCTCAAGTGACATTCGGTGACCTCGAGTGACCTTTGGTGACATTCGGTGACCTTCAGGGACCTTTGGTGACCTTTGATGACTCTGATGACCCTTCTCTGGTCACCTGCAGTGGCCTCTGGTGAGCTCCAATAACCTGTGGTGACTGTTCTGATGACCTCCGGCGACCTCTGGTGACGTGCGGCGGGTCCACCGCTATCACCGCTCCGCCGGTGCCGTGCAGCAGGTGAGCAGCAGCAGCAGCAGTAGGGTCCCGCTCACCGCCGCCACAGACCGCTCCGGCGCCGCCGTTCGGACGCCGCCGTTCTGCATGGCCGCCGACTGTTCACCTAGGGAAGGGAGGATCGGAGCATGAGGGAGGATGTTTTGATCGAGCTGAGTGTTGAGTTATTAGGCTACATACGCATCTATCATCGCTAGAATGCAATCAATCCCCACAAATGACCTTTGGACCTTTTAGAATACGATGCTTCTAAACCACATTGCAAACCTGTTTTTTACGAGGCCTTAACAATCAAACGTCTGAAACAGTTTATCTTTCATTTGGCTATCAAATGAAAATATTAGCAATATAAAAGTAAAAGACAATAATAAAGGCCAGGCAGGAAAGCATACAGAAAAATGCTGCATTTCAAGGTGCCGCTGGCGATGTTACGCTGAAAGGCAGAACATAAAGTTGACATCTGCTCTTTTAGTTCAGCCTTCACCAAATGAAAACTAACGCGGCGGCAACTAACTGCGATGACAAAAGCTTTCGCAAACTTTTCTGTGTATGAGCTCAAGTTGGGTTCAACTCAAAACAAGCTACCTTGAAAAGTAAACATCAGTGCTTTTATTCTCCCTTTTAGTCAACATTCAATGCACTTAACCGACATCGTAAGGTAAGCCAGAGCAAAGAAAAAGCGTGAATTATTTATCAGCAAAACAGCGCGTTGTTTCCCGTCTGAAAGCCTGCCTCTGGCGGCTCACCGTCGAGGATGTGCACGGTGACGGAGGCGGGTGCCGCGTTACTGGGCTGACACCAGTAGGTGCCCGAGTCGCCGCTCTGCGCGCGCTGGATGAGCAGGTGGGACGTGGTCCGGTGGCCCTTCTCCGTGATCACACTGATCCCGCCGCGGGTCGAGCTGAACGTTATCACCTGCGTGCAGAGCAGCTGAACGTTATCACCTGTGTGCAGACCAGCTGAACGTTATCACCTGTGCACAGACAGATTGAACGTTATCACCTGTGTGCAGACCAGCTGAACGTGATCACCTGTGTGCAGACCAGCTGAACGTTATCACCTGTGTGCAGACCAGCTGAACGTGATCACCTGTGTGCAGACCAGCTGAACGTTATCACCTGTGTGCAGACCAGCTGAGCGTTATCACTTGTGTGCAGACCAGCTGAACGTTATCACCTGTGCACAGACCAGCTGAACGTTATCACCTGTGTGCAGACCAGCTGAACGTTATCACCTGTGTGCAGACCAGCTGAACGTTATCACTTGTGTGCAGACCAGCTGAACGTTATCACCTGTGCACAGACCAGCTGAACGTTATCACCTGTGTGCAAACCGTAAAAATCTTTGTACCTACCTCTGCACATTGCACAAACGGCTAAACATTTTCACCTGCACAGTGCACAAACCACCAATCGTCCAGACCCCTAACGTCAATCAGTGAAGTACAGGGACTTTTACCCAATCAATGGCTATACCCAGTGCGATCCTCTGGGTCGCTTTCTCGGCTGATTCCCTCCAGCCAGCGCCTCTACCCATTGTCTGTCTGGCGGCAATTAATCTGTTTATTCTGGGCCGAATCTAATTACTTAGGCTGACTCTCGCTGTGCTTCTTCTTCTGCAAATAACTCTTTTCCTTTCATCTCCAGTAGCTCCTTTCCGCTCTTGGAAAGCATTATGGTGACCTGAGATGGCCTATTCGCCCTGATGCCCAGAAGCGTGCAAACTGCAAATGCTGCCCTAAAGAATATTGCGAAGTGAAGGAAATGCGTCCTGCCATTTCTTTTTACTTTCACAATTAAATCTCAGGGAGCATCCATGGGTACCTTACATTGCATAATTTCGTTTCAATTATCTCAGCATCCGCAACACGGAGTCGTCAAGTGCTTCTCCAAGTTCTCCAAGTCAAGTGAGATGAGAGAATCCTATGGTGACAACTGACTGAGACAAGTGAGCCAAAGTCTCTTGCGAGAGGATAACCAACAATATTTGATTTACCGGGTTCCAATGTGTTTCCCAGTACACGAGCGAGGGACATGTTGTTAAAGATTGTTATATAGTTGAAATTATCAGTCGTTATCCTGGATTAAAACGATGTTGGTTTCATAATAATGATCCGCTGAACTATACGTTCTATAGCCTTCTGAAGGTGACCTGCAATTTGCTTCGACATCTCCAAAAAACAATTTATTCGTACGATGAAGTCGCCACATTTCCATAATATCTTAATATGGCTGTAAAAGCAATTATACCTACCACTATTATAGCTATGTTATCACTTCCCTGACCAACTTATGACCTACTGACCTATATGACCTACTGATGTAGGTATATGACCTATACGACCAATTAACCCACGAGCCGCTGAGGGGCATAAAGTTGCCCCCCCCCCCCTTTACGTTTCGTAGAATATCACCGAAACCTGATGAGCTACGAACGTGAAACTTGGCAGAGCTTCAAATGAATACCTACATAGGCAATGTTTGGGGAAGGTTTGGTGGTTGTAACACTTAAATGACGTCACAGTGACGTCATAAAGTTTTGTCGTTTTCCGACATTGACCGTTCCTGATGTCACTGAGCATGAAACTCAACTGTAAATAAACTAGACAGCACCTCTTGTCATCCTGAAACATCTAAGTACACTTCCACCTAGTTCCTGACCAATAATCGCTCCTTTATATTCGGTCTCATATATCGGATATATCGTGAGGAAACTGAGAGACGCAAACCTATAATTTGACTTCTGACGTCACTGTGACGTCATTTGAAATGGGATCGACACCAAGTTATTTGGACACAACCTCGGCTAGGTATTCAGGAAGTTGTGTGCAATGTTTCGCTTCTCTATCTCTTCGCGTTGCGACGATATCATCGCAGAAATAGGGGGGCAACTATATGCCCCCCCCCCCCCCCCCCCAGCGGCCGGCGGGTGGCGCGGAGGCCTAGCGGCCGCCGACTTAATTATACCTACAACCAATCGTGTCACGAATCAGCGTTTCTCCTGTCACCACAACCTCTCTCTCTCTCTCTCTCTCTCTCTCTCTCTCTCTCTCTCTCTCTCTCTCTCTCTCTCTCTCTCTCTCTCTCTCTCTCTCTCTCTCTCTCTCTCTCTCTCTCTCCCTCTCTCTCCCTCTCTCCCTCTCTCTCTCTCTCTCTCTCTCTCTCTCTCTCTCTCTCTCTCTCTCACTCACCTTGTCCCCCAGCCTCCAGATCACAGCGTCTGGCGGCTCGGGGCTGTAGCTGACCGTGCAGGTCAAGTTCAGGTCACTGCCCCGCTGTATAAACAGACTGCCCGCGCCCAGGATACGCGTCTCCGGCACTGCAACAGGAGAACGGGGGGGGGGGGAGGGGGAAGGGGTGCCGTCACATCGGCGGTAGGTGGGTCCGTATCTGGATAGTATCTGTTTTCACGAGAGGTATCTGGCGAATGCACTTAATTTGACCAAATCTGCACCTAATCTCTTTTACAATAAATATCTTGACATCATGAATTTATCTTGTAGCCGCCGTTTTGCAGCTGATACAACATAGTTATATTGCTTCGTGATATACATGATGTAGTTATTATCGTATAACTTTTCATGGTTTAATTCAAATATCGCCTTTGAAGCTAATGCACCTGTACTAGTTAATTCATGTTGCTGGTTCATAGGTATAGCTCGGAATAAATTTTTGTAGCAACTACGGTATAGTCGGTAGCCCAGTGTTGCTGTATCCAAGCGTAAGTGTGCAAATCTGCTGTTTCAAAAATACTGGATGTCGGCGGCCGGGACATTTAAATGAAGCCATTCATCATGTCGCCCATGACATGCAGCTGTCAGCCCACAGTAGATCTACATCGTCATCACTCAAATCTTCTTTACGAGTCATTAATGGAATACATGGCGATACGTAATGGTACCGTCGTGCAGAGCCGAACAAAGGCTAATCACAAAAGCACATTACCTTGCATCGGCCTAGATGCTAAGAACAAAAAAGCAGTCCCTTCTAAACATTCATTAAATGAGTAAAGAACGAAATGGCTTTTACTAAATACATTCCAGTTTATTGACTATGCAGCTTTGCTATGTAAACTCCCGGTAAATATGTGTCAACATAAGGTCATGTTCGCCACCGATCCGACCCCATCTGTGGCTTAAACAAGACATCCCACTTCTGAGCCTGACATGAAGACATCAAATCTGTTATCATACGGAACATTTAGCCCAACGGCGACTATATTTGGCCATAGAGCTGGCTCTTAGGACATTGCCGGGATGGAGCGGTGAATATGTATATAGCTGTAGGTACTGCTAGTTTGAAAAGCCTTTTAGATGAATAAAAAATAACTACAGCGGGAACGGGAAGCGACAATCGTATCAGAGTCGCGAACCTGAAGTTGACTTTCACAAAGTAGAAATTGACATGTAGTTGAGCGAGTCTGCAGATCTGGGCAGCTGGCTGCCTGAATCGGCCGGCCTGCTGCTGCGGGCCGCCCGAGAGCACAATGGGATGGAGTCTCAGGTGGTACCGACACAAAGGAGGGATGAGCCGGTCTCAAACTCTGCACAGCGCCGGATGGAGAGCTCCTGAGCCCCTCCACCTGGCTCGGGCGGCCGGTGACGAGCACTTCCGTCTGCTCGCCGCCACAGTGCCGGCTGCAGACACGTCACTTCAATGGGTGACGGTGATGTTAGCTGACGGTGTACATACGGACCGGCGGCAGCGGCGGCGCATTACGGAGTCGTTAAAGAGACAGTAATCACGGCCGGCGTCGCTCTGTGTCCAGCCGTAACGATAACGGATGGCCGTGCGTCCAGTGGCGCAGCCAGGGGGGGGGTCAGAGGGTCAGCTGACCCCCCCCGAAATTTCTATCGGGGGCCCGCTCGAGAAAGAAAAAGAGAGAGAGAGAGAGAGAGAGAGAGAGAGAGAGGAGAGAGAGAGAGAGAGAGAGAGAGAGAGAGAGAGAGAGGAGAGAGAGAGAGAGAGAGAGAGAGAGAGAGAGAGAGAGAGAGAGGAGAGAGGTCGTAATCTAATTGGACGAGCCCGCTTCGAGAAATGCCTACTGGGACACCACGGGTGGGGGGTCGGCCCGGGGCTCCAGGTGGATGGGGCCCGGGCCCCCGGGAGAACGGGCCCGGGCCCCCGATGGATGGGGTCCGGGCCCCCGGTGGATGGGTCCGGGTCCCCGGGAGAACGGGCCCCGAGCCCCGGGTGGACGGGCTTGAACCCCCGGGAGAACGGGCCCGGGCCCCCGGATGGATGGGGCCCGGGGCCCTTGGTGGATGGGCCCGGGCCCCCGGGAGAACGGGCCGGGCCCCCAGGAGAACGCACCCTGGCCCCCTGGGTGGATGGGGCCCGGGACCCCGGGAGAACGGGCCCGGGCCCCAGGAGAACGGGCCCGGGCCCCCTGGGTGGATGGGGCCCGGGCCCCGGGAGAACGGGCCCCGAGCCCTGGGTGGACGGGGCCCGGATCCCCGGGTGGATGGGGCCCGGGCCTTTGGGAGAACGGGCCCTGGCCCCCTGGGTGGATAGGGTCCGGGCCCCTGGGTGGACGGGGCACGGACCCCCGGGTGGATGGGCCCGGGCCCCGGGTGGATGGGGCTCGGCCCCCCTGGTGGACGGGCCCCGGAGCCCCGGGTGGATGGGACCCGGAGCCCAGGTGGACGTGGCCCGGGCCCCCGTGTGGATAGGGCTCGGGCCCCCGTGTGGATAGGGCCCGGGCCCTCGGGTGAATGGAGCCCACTAGGGTGACCCGCTTGCTCCGCAACGCGAATAAGGGGTATTTTCGATCGGTGGGCGTTTGGTTGGTCTTGTGTCCGTGGGTTATGTATCCATTTCGGTCGATTGCCTTTTGACGGCTAAGTATTTTGGTTTGGGAAAAAATATCCATCGCATCGAGGTACCTACAGTACAGTACAGTATATTTTGGTAACCAAGGACAAGAAACATCGGAGAAAATGATAGGTAGACTTGTAAACGATTCAAAAAATTTCAATCAATTCAATCACGACTCACTTGATGAAATGACCGATTCAATCATAACTCAATCAAACAGTCTGATTTTCCAAGCGATTCAATCACGACTCATGGACCTTGTGATTCAACTCAATCACGACTCATCCCATTATCAGTGATTCAGGGAAAAACTCAACTCATGATTTGACTCAACGCGATTCAATCAAGATGTTATATAAAATATATACATATGTGATATCAATTTAAGACATTTTTGGAAACTGATACCAAACAGATATCAACCAAATACACTAGGAAAATACCAAAAAACATAGAAAAGTACTAAATCTATGCTTGCTCACAAATGTCCTGATGAAACAGGGTATTGAAAATATAAAGATTAGCATGGTATCTAAAACATGTGTGTTGAGCACTGAACTCTATACCTAATGAGCATGAGGTGTTGAGCAATGTGCGCCTGCTTACTGCTACTGTTAACTTGATTACTATTACATTCATTTTTTCATCTTCATGCATTGACATTTATGTATAATTTTGTGTTTACAGTTTGATTAAAAACTTAAAACAACATTTTTATGTTTTTTTTCAATACTGATAGCTATGCGCATTTATAATACTGACAAAATACCTAAAAATTTTGCAGTGCATTGTGTGTGACTATGATGCAAATGCCACATATATTTCCACATAATATAGTACTAAATATGGTCACAACTTTAATTTCCAACGCATGGTGATTGAATCATTTTGTTAATTGAATCAACTTGAATCGATGAGTTGCCGATTCAATCACTTGCAGTTGCCATGTGTGACCGATTCAATCAGGATTCATATGGTGACAAGAGGTGATTCAACCGACTCAATCACAGTGAGTCGGCATTTTCAAGCGATTCATGAGAATCGATTCAATCAGAGTTGAATCGCTTACAAGTCTGAGGTGCTCGTGTCTAGTGATAACTGATAGCCATGCGTTCTACTATAGAACATGCTAAGTATATTTTATAGCATAGGTTGACGTAGGCTACCTATTGAAAAATGGAGGCCATCGATGAATTACTATGTATGTAGAGGTTTGAAACGTTTATATTTTTAAGAATATTGTTGCTCTTCATGCAAAAGCGATGAATGGATCTTGGACCAAATTGAATGCTCTTTTCAACTATGCCATTTTCAATTGTTAAACGTACCAGTTTATGCAGCAAAACCCGTGTAATTAAGTAGATAAATCATGAACAAATGCCATTTTCTTCAGCGATTTGTTCCACCTTGTTTTTGATCAATTAGCTTTTCATAATTTTTCCATGAGAGGCGGTACCTTTCTCTTGACCTGCCCTTCAGGTGACATTGACATCCACCCTTATGCATGGGAGCAACATCAAATCACATGTTTGAACGCTTGAAACCACGAAAGGACTGCAAACGCGCCGCTAATGCGAGCCGGCATACGCCGAACCGCGATTCTGGCCAAACATGGTCTCGGAAAGTCGGCCAGGTTTGGCCTACTTTCCGACCTTTAGGTCGGAATTTGACCTTGAATTGACCTTGAGGTCATTTGGGCCAGGGTCATGAAATTTCTAGGGTAGGTGTAAAATTGATCAACGCGATGGTACTGAAAGTTACGTCACGATCAGCCGCTTTTACGCGAGTTATTTGCGAGAAAAAAAACTTTATGGGGGATTGCATCAGGCATCAGCCCCTTCCCCCTGTGCCGCGAGGATTAAAAATTCTTGTGAGCGAATTCACGTAATGAAGAAGAGTAAAAGCACAATTTACTACAGCAGCCAATAGATGACTTAGAACAGGCACATGGGACTAGTTAAATATTGTCCGACGGAAGCAGGCAACAGTTTCGATTGCATATATGCTATGCATATTGCGGAAGAGGCACATTTCGGCCTCGAAAGATACGAATTTTTACGTCATAGAACATATTTTTGTCGTGGTCAATTTGCGCAAAAATTGAACACCGGGTGATTACCGAGCTATTGTTCTATCCAAATGTTCTGATTCAAACTCGCTCAGGGCTATCGTGCAGGTAAAGGGGGCCCGCTCAGCAGAATGTGTATGAAATATGGAGAGATTCTGAAAAATGGGTGGGGGGCCCGCACACTAGGGGGCCCGCTTTGGAGGCGATGACCCCCCCGAAATGAAATCCTGGCTGCGCCACTGCGTGCGTCGCTCCGTCGTTACTCACTGGGTGCATTACGGGGCCGACATTCCAAAGTGACACTAATGGCCGCCCGCAGTGGTAATCCTGCAGCGCGGCCAAATTATACCTACATCGAAACGGCATAGGCCCGACGATGACAACATCATGCCGGCATTGTCACAACGCTGCGCGGCAGTGATGGATGGTCTATGTCAGGCTGAAGTGTAATTTCATTCCATTTGTCTCAGGTAACTGATGGATATTGCCAGGCAGTGTGCAGCATCAACAGGCGGTGCATAGCCATTCAGAAGGCACCAATGCCCCATAAGGGCCATGTTCTCATCGTGTGCTCCTGATCAACAGGAGTTACTATATACCAACGCTATTGTTTAGCTTCTATGCCTGTATGGGCCTGCCACTTCATTCCCTAGGGTGCAAAGCGGCGCACAAACTTGATGTTTCATCACATAATGCTTAACACATCTAGACTTAGTAAATAAGTAGTTATAATTTGTTTCCCAGATATAACAGCCTTATAACAACATTTCCTGCTTAACATCTAAATATGAAGTACTATTTATCAGCAATTTTCACGACGGCATAGGTATTGGGCAGCAGTTTGATTGAATTTGAAAACAAAGAATCAAAGCAATGGACATTTCATTCCGAAGGTGGAAACCCTACACACTATAATCAAATCTATTATGAGAAATTTTATAGTAAACACTACTAAAATTTCTCGGTAGAAAGCGGATCAAATAACTAGGTGCCCAAGGTTCCATGTTGCAATGGGCTATTGCTAACCCGGTAGTATAGCTACTGTTGACTATGGTAATGCTAAAGTCATTTATGTGATCAGCCAAAACAAAACAATTTACTTGACTGTGATTAGGCATCATAGCTATTAAAATCATTCAAACATATACACATAAATGCATGCAAACATACATTAACACATATAGGTATGTACGCATGTGATCGTTAAAACATCTTGAAACGCCGTCACAATTTAATTTGATCACGAGCGCCCGGAGTCACATATTGGCCCGTTGTAATCTGTTTACAGCGCGCGGATCGGCCGCCTGCTCCGCCTGCAGGGTCGGCCGGCAGGTATCGACTGCACGTGGGGCCAATCTCATTAATTCGGCACCTGATGGCCCGGCCGATCAGCACACGTGAAGCAACACACCAAGTTTGGTGACATCCTGGGCGTTATGATGCACTAATGCTAAGGGATAATTGAAGTTGGGTATACGAGGGCCGTTCCCCTTGGCTGAGCACTTGTTGCAGGGGGCTGGTTAGTGACGTTCTCACCTGTCGCGGCTCTCACCGAACACAGGGCCACTCACCGATGACGGTGAAGTTGACGGTGGTGGTGAGCAGCGGTTTGGTGCTGATCTGACAGTCGTACAGGCCCGAGTCGTTGTGGCGCGCGCCGCGGATGGCCAGCGTCCATATAGCGCTGCCGGGCTCGTGCTCGGCGCCGAACCGCAGGTCGGTGGTGTAGGTGTACCGGCCGATGGTGAGGATGTGCAGGTCCGCCTGCCGGATCCACGACACCTGTCCGATACGGGATGCACAGGTCAACTGCGGGCTGGGTCACACGGGTCACACAGGTCACACAGGTCGCATGGGTCACACAGGTCACACAGGTCACACAGGCCATACGAGTCTCACAGGTCACACGGGTCAACTGTGGCTGGGTCACACGGGTCACACAGGTCAGCTGCTGCCGGGTCACAACGGGTCAACTACAGAAGACAGCTGGGTCACAGTGGTCATCCACAGGGCGGCCAGCCGCGTCATAAGTGGGATGCTCTACTGCACCGTCAACCAACGGGTCACACACAACCTTAGGTCCTTCGTGAGCCGGTGGCCGGTGCAGACGTATTTGTGATTCATAACACGTTATACATGAACCTGAATTTTGTCTGTTATACGCAATGGCCGTTTTCACGACGGGCTATCCGGCGAGTGCACCTAATTTGACCAAATCTGCACCTTATCTCTTTAACAGCAAATATCTGTTTTTTTAATGAATTTATTTTAGTGTTTTCATCGATGATACTCTCTGATAATATGACAAAGCAGGCATATAAGCAATTAGTGCAGCCCTAGCTGATAGCTAGTAAGAGACAAACTGAACCTGATTTGCCCAAATCTGCACCAAATCTGCACCAAATGTGCACCAGCTGTGTACCAGATGGCCGTCGTGAAAACGGCTAATGTCAACCTCAAGGGCCTACCCATAAGGTGGTGTAGTTATTCTGTCTTAACTATTTTCGAGAGCGAGACCGTGTAACCACCTAGAAAACGTATTTGATCATCGGCCATGATTGTAGAGCTTGAGAAGAGCAATGGCCATGTTTACCACCAGGTAGACATAAATAACAACGATAATATTTACGTGCTCTTAATCAATGAGGATGACATCCGGTGACGTAGAAAAAGAACGCCATTCTATTAATTATTAACATCTAAAAGGCAAACCTGTTAATGCCAAGATAAAATTTAAATTAAAGTGTAATAGAGGCATCCACTTAAACATAGCGTTTAAATGGAATAGCCCCGTCGACGATGAAATAAGGAAACTAAGCTAATCTATATGTAGTACTTTTACTTTATCCAAGCTACTCAAATAAAGTAAATAATCCACCCTTATAAAATACATTGATTTTTATCTCAGTTTAGAAACTTTCTTTATTTTTGAATTTTCCCATTTTCAAACGACAATATTATCGATTTTTATCAAGAACTGTGAACACTGAGCTTAATTAAAAATCAACCAGTAAACAGGTCAGTTACTTATCAGCCGTTCAGTTGTGCTTTATCCTTCCAGTTGCCAAATCACACAGGCCCCGCCGCGTTTCGACTGGATAAATCAGTCTACTCGCAGACACCTGTCTGAGCAGGCCACTTTGCTTGCCCAGATGGCGTCTTAATGTTTCAGTTGGGTAGCAGGTCCGGTGGTCAGCCAGCTATTGGCATCCCCCGGCGCCGCCGGAGCCCTTCATCAGCTCGAGATGCATGGCCCAATAAAACACCCTGCCATTGAGCCGCTCCACTACCGCGCGATTCTGCGAGCCCGGTTAAAGCAGGTCTGGGCCAATATGTCAGGGCCTCGAGTGTCCAGCAGTAGGTATCGTAATTGGAATATCCGGGAAACCGACCCGGGTGACAGCAAACGAAGAAACTACAATTGTTCATTAGATCAGTGAAAAATGATGTAGGGACTTTGACCTGCTATTCTAGTTTGCTGCAATTACTGTACATTACTGCACATTTAAGCTTGCGGTGAGCATGAAGTAATTAGCCACACATAACATTTCTTTTGCAAAACTAGAAATGAAATTAAAAATCAATAACATTAATTCCGAGGGACATGTAAGGACTTATCAATCATGGACTGGTGTCAAATTCAGATGTCAAATTGCTAACACTATTTGAAAACATCGGCATAGTAAAAACTAAAAAGTGTCGGACACGACGCCTCATTTTTATTGTTAACCTAGGCGGCTAGGCCTTCGAGTTATCGTTATCATGAACTTGGTCGTCACTGCCAGAGGTGGACTGCCATTCTATGTAATCAATCACGCAGCAATCAAATGTGCTGCAAACTTCGCTCGTGGATTTCATGGGCTCACGGTTTGACATATGATGCCACTTTCTCTGATTAAGGAGATCCTCTGAACCCCTGTTGGCTCCCACGCAGGAACAAGTTATTGCATTTGCTGCTGTAGTTTGGAAATTAACTCGGCGCTCGCTATCACAACTGTTGTCAAGACTATCTGTAAGAATCTTGGTCAAGACCTTGCAGGATCACCGCGCACAGTGCTTCGTTTTATCAACATGTAACCATCAGCATTCGCGAACGTCTCATGCTTATATGTGGAGCGGCCCCTGACATTTACACTAACCCATGGCTCGGCAGCCCAGCTCAGCTGCCCAGCTCAGCTGCTAGCCTGGCGTTTTCGATGGCGGGGACCGGCTCAATTTCGGGACGGACGATAAATGACGCGTATGCGTCAGGCTTACCTGGGGGGCGGCACATGTCCAGAGGCAGTTCTGGCCCCTCACGAGCAGCTCAAGTTGGAGGTTGGACAATGCCACGCCAGTGCCACCTCAGGGTAACCGGTGGCTTAGGGGATCCGAAAATCGCCAGCCTGGCACTATGTAGACTAGAATAGTGCAAGGCTTCAAATTCAAGAGAATGATATATGTGTGTAAATCCTATGGGGTCAGATATGTCAGAGATCGGAAATACCTCGCACGTGGCATGGCTTCAAAGCTCAGTGACGCAATGGAAATGTGCCGCTGCCCTGTCATGTCCAGGATCCGGTGAATCTAGAGTGTCGTCAATGCTAATCCAGGTTAAAAGTGCAATGTCAAATAGGTTCAGCTATTTTCTGAACGGAAATCTTACTGGGGTGTACAGACTGCGGTTGATAGGGAAAGATTTGTAACTTGTTACATAAGCCCTCCTGGCATTAAGCTCCACCATTAGGTAATTCATTTTGCATCTGAAGCGGGGTGAAAATGAAGCATGCCCACGACAATCGTGAAGCATTGCAGCGCAGTTGTCTCTTCGCGTACTTGATGAGCTTCGACGATCAATTGTTTCTTGTCGGTTCTAGCCTAATAACTAGTGAAGTGCGAGCTATCTAACAGTCCAAGTGGCGAACCAACTACAGTTCTGACTCCTGTCGTATCTGCATCTCTACAGACAGCCTTGATGAAATATCCATCAGATTAGGGGCTCCGATTAGCAGGGGCGGACCGATAGATCCACCAGGATCAAGCCCCCGATGCCACCGAGCGACCCGACCGGTCCGCCCAGCGCTGACCCGTCCATCCCACTCTTCATCTGCTAACGAAATTCAGTCAGCTTCGATTCCCGATATTGGCGGCGGCGGCTGCGGACGGCGGCCGCTCGCCAGGCCGGTCATTGCCGACCAGAAGGGCTCTCGGGCGGCGGCACACGCCCGGCCGATAGACACTGCCGCCGCCGTACCTCTGGGAGACTGCACAGACGGCCAGATGAGCGCAGCGCAGATGGGACGGCCGGCAGCTGAGCCAGCCGCCCGCACCTCCGCGGCAGAAATAACGGGCCCGCCGTCGCCCAGGAGACGCTAACTAATATCTGGCGAGCGGCTGATAATGCGCCATGGAGAGCTCCGTGTGGACGATTAATTTCGTCCCGACTGCAGACACACGGCTGTGCTGCTCTCAGGCCGAGTCCCGTAGGTCTGCGACTCGGCTATACGGCAGTCGGTCATTGGCTGCCGTCGGCCCTCCCGCAGCTGCCTGGGTGGAGGCTAATTTACAGTTCACGCGGTTCGTGCGCCACAGGAACCATCAGGGAAAATGTGGCGCCGTTTAACTGCCAGTAGACGGGCTGTTGGGCGTAAATTTGATGGCAGGCCTCTCGTCGCTTCCTATTAAAAAGGTCAAATGACATGCTGATCGATGTGGTTGATTAAACAATGCCGCCCATTTCCTCTGTCGGCAATTCAAAACACAAAAAGGTGATATGTGTGCTTTACCATTCCTTTGGAAAAAGCAAGCGATAAAAATAGCCTTTTGTGTTCGATTTGAAAAGAAACTAAGATTCTAGCCCTAAAGGGAAAACTAAATAGGTATATTAGACATTTTGCGGCATATCTTCGTCGGTGACGTCGGTGACGGTGTGGCATTATAACCGTTTACCCAGCGGGCAGCGCTAAGTGAAAGCAAGCTGTGAAATCGACTAGCCACTAGTTTACCGACAGCCTTCAAATAGAAATATTGTCAGACGTCTGAGCTAAATCACGACCGAGTTTCATTTTAAGCCACCATATTTAAGACTCCAAATCACTACACCAGTATAACGCCTTTTGGGGCGACTAACGGAGCGAGCGAGAGGGTGGGCCTTGCACGTGCGAAATTTCGAGGGGGTACCTCCAACTGACTTGTGCACTGCACCCTACTAACCGGTCTCTAGCGATGTGCCAAATTTGAGCACAATCGGCTCAGCCGTTATCGAGATCTGGAAGCGGCGTCCTGCACGTGCGCACGTGCAACATGGGTCCCAACTGACTTTTGCACGGCACCCTACTAACCGGTCCCTAACCGTGTACCAAATTTGAGCGCAATCGGTCCAGCCGTTCTCGAGATCTGGAATCGACCCCTGCACGTGCGCACGTGCAGCAGCACCCCAACTCTGGCACATGGATATGCAGTGCCTAGTGGGTGCCTACCTACATGCCAACTTTCAGCGCAATCGGCCAAGTTGTTACCGAGATATTGCAACAATTAGAAAAGTGACACCTCTTCGTTTTGCACGTGGCACGTGCATAAGGGGTCACCCACATGCATCGGGAATAGTCCAATACTTGGTAGAAGGAATGAAGCTACCCTACAAAAATTACCGCATGTAAATCGGTCAAGTGGTTGCTGAGATATAAGCCTCGCAAAAGCGTCCGCACGGCCGGCCGGCCGGCCGGCCGGCCGGCCGGCCGGCCGCTCATACTCAGAAATTTCCGTTATTCTACGTAAGACTCCGCTCGCTTCGCTCGCTCCGTAATTACTTTCTGATATCCAACAAATATAGCCACGAGCCGTAACCGTCTGGACCAGGCGCCGCCGCACCTAATACCGCCCAGCCGGCCACTGTAAATTGCAGCCCGAGTATTAACCAATCGTGTCCTCATCGATCGGTCATCCGTCGTTAGCTGCGTGCCCCACTCTGGCGACCCGCTCTCCCGCCTGCCTGGCCGCCGCCCGCTCGCCCAGACGAGGGCCTTTGCCGACCACTCGGCCGTCCGGCCGGCCCCGGTCGCGCCACCTCTCAAGGGTGACCGATTTCCGACCTGTCTGTAACCAGATTACACCAGCGCGGGCGGGGAGCGGCCAAAATGGGACACCGACGTGCCTCGCCAGAACGGCTTGTCAGAAAACCGGGCGACAGCGGCGTTTGTCTCAACCCGGAGCCGCCGTCGAGCCAATCTGTTTGAGGAGAGATTGCGCGACATAGTTCTCGCTTCACAGTACAAGATGATAGCGAGCGCTGTTGTGTGCGCAGTCCCGCGGAGATCGATGGAGGGTGACGGCGGCACGACGAAAACTGCTCTCCAGCGCCCCCGCGGTCGACCAGATCTAGCTCGCAGCATTGGAGACTGTTCCGCGCCGAATGGAGCCCGCACTTCTCTGACCAGTTGACCGTGCTATGGGAAACAAACAGCGCGTGGCCAGAGCGGCCAACCCGCGTCCAGTGACATAAACCAGATCTCGGACCGGCCGAGCTCCGTTTGGAGACACAGCCATCGGACCGTGAACGGAGCGACTAGTCTCCGTCGGACACGACGGGCCGGCGGGAGAGCCGGTGAGCCGGGGCGCACGTGCAGTTACACAGGGAGCGGCGCCGAACCGATGAGCCGGAGCGCACTGCAGTTTCAGAGGCAGCAGCGCTGAGCCGGCGCTCAGCGAGGCGCTCAGATGCACCCGATGCACCGGCGAGCAACAGCGGAACTGTCATCACTGTTTGAAATGGTATCGGTCTGGGAAATTACACCGCCATTTCCGATGGGACGTTGGACAGAGATAACGTGAAGCTGAATATACCAAAAGTTCAGCCGCTCGTGTTCCTTTTTATAAGACTACGAAAGGACTAAGGGAAATGAGAGCTCAGTAAAGGAAATGTGATTCTGATGTATTTAAGTGAGTGAACTATTTATTTCGAAACATTTATTTGATCCCAAATGCAACGAATAATTTTATGTATCGGAACGACTCGTAATACACACAGAAAAATATTGGCACCGTTAGCGGTGTAACTGCACAGTACATATCTGAGCACTTGAGGAAAGTTAATTTAGTCCCTTCCCCGCTTAAATTACTCGCGCTTCTAAATGAACACCAGGAAGAAGGTAATAGAAAACTGTTAGGAGGGTTGGGTGTTTTACTACATGTAGCAAAACACCCAACCCTCCTAACAGTGTTCTATTACCTTCTTCCTGGTGTTCATTTAGAAGCGCGAGTAATTTAAGCGGGGAAGGGACTAAATTAACTCTCCTCAAGTGCTCAGATATGTACTGTGCAATTACACCGCTAACGGTGTTAATATTTTTCTGTGTGTAAGGCTTTTAAAGGTTGGGAGCCTTGATCATCCGGTAATGAGCCCCTGAGGAGCAAACCTAGAAATCTAGAAACTTTCACTAGCAAATTCACCATCCGCATCCGACACATGACCGACCATACATGTGCCCCTGACCCCCCTCCCCTGGCCCCTGACCTCCCATTTGCCCCTGGTCTCCGACCCCTGACCTGCCCTCGCTGCGCCTCACCGTGTTGTTCTCCAGCGTGCGGACGATGCAGTTGAGCCGGGCGTCGCGGCCGTGCAAAGAGGTCACGTGACTGGCCATGCTCGGATCAAACTCGGGTCGTGGCGGGTGGCTGTCGACGAACGGTGGCCCTTCGGCCACGTGACGCGGCTGGTACGGCGAGTTTCCCGCCACCCGGCGACCGTCGGCTGCCGGTCAGACGAGGCCAAAAGTCAGTCAGGTAATCAGTCAGGTCATCAGTCAGCACCTCAGGTCATCAGTCAGTCAACGACATACGTGCAGGGTCGCCGGTGAATGGTGCCTGCACGGATTTTATTTTATTTGTTTTTTTTTTTTGTCAGGGGGTAGCTCAGCTTCAGTCTCGAGTCCACGCTCACTCTGCCAGATGCAAATAAATTAAAACAAATCAAATTACGTTCTACTGTTATAAGGTTACACTTGATTTTCGCCTTCTGTCTTAAATTTACTCATTGTAAGCGGTTCTCAACAATAAATTCACTTTGGAACGTTTATTTCATTCATTTCAAAGGTATTTTATCTAAACGATTGTTGAACATTCCATATTCAAAGAAGATCATAAAGGCCCTCATATTTCCCACGAACATCTCACCGGTTTTGTTGAAAAGAAGCGTATCACATCTTAAGTGCTCCTAGTCTGCGTAATTATTCCACTTTATCTTCCAGCGCTTACTATAATGGCTGGATCAAGAGCTTAGTGTAACACACCAGCCACAAGTTTAATGGCGGCCCATAGTCTCAGAGCCAGCTCGCACAGGGACCCGCTGATCTGATCTTTACTGGACCTGAATCATTCGCCTTTTAGATGCGAATGCAGTTCCCAGTAATCGCTTTTCAACGTAGGTTTGCGTTTGGTGCCTCGTGTTTGTGCAAGTACTTATAAGGAGGTAGGTATTTGTGCAAGTACTTGAAACCAAGCGAAATATCAAATAAGCCATTTGACGCATTGAAACAAACATGACTCTGATAAGCTTGTACAAGAGAATGTGCATATTCAAAATTTCTCTGATTTACTTTTGTTTTTCGCCTGTTATTTTGTTTTTCTTTTTGTTGTTTAATTTGTGATAAGAAAAGCTATAATAATGCTTTTTGCATTTATTTGCTTTTTATTCCACTGTTTCATCCGACCACCTCAAATATTGCGCCTAGCGCTCGGAGCAGTCCCAGGGCCTCGTCTAACATGTTAACTGGGGGGGCAATTGCCTCCCCAGTCGAGCGGATTGCCCCCCCAGTGGCCAACATTTGCCCCCCCAGTCAAAACGTGAACTTCTCACAAAATTACCTTCTCTGCAATGTGTTTTTGTTAGGAGTCTTATACGGATTTAACGAGAAACGTTAAATTATTTGTTCAAAAACTGTTCATGCTCCATGACTACGGGAAAAGCCAGAGTTTTGTGATTTATAGACCTGAGTACTCACTGTGATTCTGTGATTTTGCTACTGTGATTCAAGTAGCAAATTGTCTATTGGCAGCTGCCAGTGACCCAACTCGTGTTTGTGCCCCGCCCCCCCCCCCCCCCTCCCACTCAATCAAACGCCCACGGCCCAACACGGATAAATATGTTAAGCACTGTCTGGTGGGGCAATGTGAGGGGGTAACACATTAATCTTAACTCTCGCCCGTATTGGTGTTTTTCCAGCCGCGAACGTATAGGGGGGGGGGGGGCGTTGGACCTTGCCCCTTGCCGTTTCGCCCCTGATCGAGCTAGAGCTTCGCGGAGAAAACCACCGTGCTGCCCGTCACGAGAGGAAGCCGATGATACCTCATTTTAAGGCCTTAGTCTTCGGTCAAGTCGGGAAAATCGCGGGACCTGTTACAACGTGGTAAAGGGTGGCTGCTATGTTTTTTTTTTTCGGGGTGCTGATCACGAATATCATGTTAGTTAATTATCACAGATAATGTCTTCATGCATTTAGGCCAGGTCGGGTCAGGTCAGGTCAAGTCAACCAGTAAGGGTTTTGCCGGGTATTCGTAGTAGGTGGCAACCGCCTCTGGCTCCGACAGCTTCGCAACATGTTACGAAGGCACCAAAACTACTTCGTAAATGTTCAAATGGTTGCTAAATTCGAATTAAGCTCCAAAAACTGGCCTAGAATCATGTAAAACTCGAAAAAGTGAACCGAAGTCATCAAAAGCCAATGACCTGACCTGACCTCGCGGTGACCTTGACGCCTACCCTAATGCATGGGAGCAATATCATATTCCATGTTTGAACGCTTGAAACCACGAAAAGACTGCAAACGCGCGGCTAATGCGAGCCGACATACGCCGAATCGCGATTCCGGCCAAATAGGGGAAGGTGGGGTAAGACGGCCCAGCGGGGCAAGACGGACCACCAGCCCTCCCGGCTGAACCGCTGCTGGTATCTACTGCTTTATGCACTCACTATGTTTGTTTTCCTTCGTAACAATGGCCACCTTGAGCTCATGCTGCTAGGATGCCTAGCTTTTGAGTTATTGAGAAAAATGTTGTTTTTCGTCAAACCGATCTAATATAAGAGGTCTACGGGTGATTCAATTACGGCGCCTTTCTTGCATGATTAGTTTCTATTTTGCACTTAACTGTGAAGAACAAAGTTATAAACTTAGTTATAGTCACACTTTAGGAAAGGCAAGGTTTTGCGATGTTGGGCTATTTGACATATACGTCATGATAATGACAGAATTTAGATTGGGGGCAAGACGGACCACTGTGGTCCATCTTACCCTGTGGTGGTCCATTGTACCCTGCATATGGAAAGTTCTTTTCCAAAACATTGACACAAGTTTAAGTAAGCTAATTTTTTCAGGAAGGAGTCTTTGTTGCATGTGAGCCGTGCATGCAAGTGCTCAGTTAGCATGCATTCATGCCAAACGACAATCAACACACATGTTCTTAGCTTTTAGCTGCACTTCCATCACACATGAGTAAAGAATAAAGGCTCATTTTGTTATTTTACCATTCTGGTTACTTTTTCTTACAAGAGTACAGAGCAGAAGTGTAACACACATGAATGGATAGCAGGCACTGCTGGGTGGTCCGTCTTACCCCACGTTTTTTCTTGTCTGAGTTTTTGACATGTCCCTCTTTAAGAGCATCCACCACCTAGATGTCTTTAATTTGAAATTTAGTCTTTACACATATCAACAGAGGAAGGATTGAGCATTCCGAAGACTATAAATAATATGAATTACGAGAGCAGTGTAGGAAGATATGCGGCCTCAAACCTTAGCTGGTCCGTCTTACCCCACCTTCCCCTATGGTCTCGAAAAGAAGTCACAGGTCAAAGGTCATTACGGTCAGGGTCATGACATTTTCAGAGTAGGTGTAAAATTGACTAACGCGAGGGTACTGAATGTGTCGTCGCGGTCAGCCGCTTTTACGTGAGTTATTCGTGAAAAACCGGGGGGGGGGGTCCGTTCGACCCCCCCCCTTATACGAGCATGGCTCTGTTTTGTTTTGTTTTTTGTTTGTTTTTTTGTTTAAAAAAAATAATGGTCTCAGGGCTGTGACGAAAAACAAGTGGCCTAAATCCGGTGAGAAAACAGGATTTGGGGGTACCCTAGGTTTGGGTCCTTCAGTCTCTGCCCCCCCAGTGAAAATTCCTTAGACGAGGCCCTGAGCAGTCCCGCTGTTTGGATTACGTCTGCAGGGTGTTACGCCGTCTCCAGCGGCGGAACAAATGTGTGCTGCACAGGGGGAGACGGTCGTCAATCCACATTAGGCCGTTCGAGTCGGCAGTGCGGCTGCCGATACGACCCGCGTGTCGTCAATCTTGCATACACCCAATTCACGGGCCGCGGCCGTTCCCCACGGGCCGGCTTATGGGCCTGTCGTATATGCAACGGGGACGGCACACGGGTCCGTCGGTCCCCCAGGCCAGCGCACGGGTCTTTTTTCTGCGCACAGATCTGCTGATCCCTATTAGTCAGAACAGCACCAGTCCGGGCTGGTGCTCGCAGGTCAGGACACCGATATGCCGATCAGCTGGTCAGCCCGTTGGTCGGCTGTCCAATGTCCATCCTTTCCGCTGGACCATGAAACCGTCAGTCTGTCAGCCTGTCAGTCAGATCGACCCTCGGGCAGTCAGTCTGTCTCTGTCAGTCTGGGTTATCACCCGTGCGGTCCGTCGGTCTGTCGGTCTGCCAGTCTGGTCCGTCGGTCGGAAAGTCAGCTGAATTAACCGTCAGTTTACGGTTAATTCAGCCTGTCAATCTGTCAGTCTGGTTTGCCACTCGGATAGTCTGCCAGTCTGGTTGGTCCGGTTCATCGGTCGGTCAGTCTGTCAGTCTGATCGGCCGCTCGGGCGGTCCGTCGGTCTGTCAACCCGGTCCGTCGCTAGGGTGGCCCGCCGGTTCGGTCGGCTCGTCTCCCGGCGCCGGGATCTCGCTGACGCGGCCGGGACACGAGCGGCACGCGTTAGTTGCAGCCTGTGCCGCAGTCATCTGCCGGATACAGCGTACCGAATGACCCGAGCTGCCCAATGAATAGAACGGGATATTGGCCGGGAGACGGGCTCACTGCCGGAGCGGATTTAGGGGCGGATAATTTCTCAACTGAAGAGCCTGATCCCAGATTGTGCGGATTCATAGTTCATTTTCACGGAATAATTTGAGGCACATACATCCTGTTGACACGTATTTGATGCCTTGTGGAGTGGGCTCCGCCTTTCCTGGTATAGCGGATCGGTTGTACAGGACGACAGAGCAGGGTCACATCGCCCATTATTTACGGTGCCGTGAAGTTTAAGTAGCCGCGATAGCTAATCGCGGTAACAAATGTCTTGCTGAGCGAGCTTCACGTACCAAAAATGTAAAGCAGCTGTGGATATGGGGCCATACGTAGCTAATGGCGACTATTTGATAGCTTAATGGTCACGTAAAACAGTTTTCTGTAGAATAAATATGGTTTCATCATCAAGATCTCGACACATTGCTGTGCTTCTTTCCAAATCCCGTGGCAGCTATGGTATCATAAAACTACAGCCATCATCACTAGAGAGGCTTTTCTCTCGCTCAGTCTTCGTGATATCGATATACAATCATACCGGCGGAATAGACTGAGCCACCGGGATGCTGAACGATGGCTGGATGCATCGCGTTCGGTTCGCGCCACTGAAAACAGTGATCCTATATAGCGCTGAGGTGGCTCAGGTCGAGTATTGACTTTCACAAGGCGGAAACAATCGAA